TGTATTTTTAGTACAGACGGGATTTCACCGTGTTAGCCAGGATGATCTTGATCTCCTGACTTTGTGATCCACCCACCTCGAACTCCCAAAGTGCTGGGATTACAGGTGTGAGCCACCGCGCCTGGCCCTGCCATTTTATTGCATTCTCTGGATGACCCAACAAAGTAGGTAATAGGAACCCTGCTTTACAGATGAGGAAGCAGGTAAAATAACAGACCATGCCTAAAAAGCGACACCACTAGCAAATGGAGAAACGCGGCTTTGAACTTAGCTGAGTCTGATACCAAGGCCTGCGGTCCCTCCACTGAGCAGGGCAGGACCTGTCTACCCTGGCTGGGAGGTCACAAGGAAGAGAGGGTGCAGATTTGCCATATGGCCACAGGACAGGAACCAGAAGCCTCTGGGGACAGCTTTGAGTGGACTGATTCTTGGCTCAGTGGCAGAAAGAACCAACAACTAGTGGTGTCCAAGGTAGACAAGGGCACTTCAGGAAGCTGGGGAGACATGGTCTTTAAGGAGCCTCCCATCTTGAGCAATTATGGGTGAATGTGCGACTTTTTTTTTTTTTTTTTGAGACAGAGTCTCGCTGTGTCGCCCAGGCTGGAGTGCAGTGGCACGATCTCGGCTCACTGCAACCTCCGCCTCCCAGGTTCAAGTGATTCTCCTGCCTCAGCCTCCCAAGTAGCTGGGACTACAGGCAAAAGCTACCACACCTGGCTAATTTTTTGTATTTTTAGTAGAGACGGGGTTTCACTATGTTGGCCAGGCTAGTCTCAAACTCCTGACCTCAAGTGATCCACCCATCTCGGCCTCCCAAAGTGCTGGGATTACAGACGTGGGCCACTGTGCCTGGCCTTATGTGCTGACATTTCAAGTAGGATGATAGCCTTGCCACTTCAGAGAAAGGGAGGGAAGCTAGCCAAAAGAAAAAGAATAATTTAAGAAAGCAGATTTCAGTGGGACGAGGGCTTCCGAGGATCTAAAGGGATAGAGTAGGAGAAGTGGGAGTGATTTTCAGGGAGGAAACAGTAATATTAAAAGTAGCAAGAACAACTTCCCAGGCATGAGATGGCAGGGGGCTGCTGAGCACTGTGGAAAGAGCATAAGGAGCTGAATCACCACGGGGCGTGGATTTCTTCCTTTATTCTCCATTTACTCAGTGCCCATCAGCAGCCTGGCATGAGATCAGCAGCTGCTGGGGGAGCACAGGACAGAGCAGGATGAAGTAACAGTCTCTTCCTTGGGGAGACACACAGTGCAATCCTCAGAGACAAGATAAAAAACCAAGTGGCTGAAAGGGCCAAACACATGCAAGGCTAAGCGATAAGAGCATGAGAACCAGCAGGGAAGGCCCAGCCTTCCCCCACCAGCACACCAGGAGGAGCAGCCAGCGCCTAAGGAGAATCACAAAGGAACCACTGAAGCCCACAGACGGTGAGCAGAACAATCGGAGCAAGGAACCTGCACAAGTCGCAAAGGGAGATTGACAAGTGTTCTCTCCATTTACCGGGGAAAAGGTGATAAAATAAATGTGCTCCTTGGCCGGGCACAGTGACTCACGCCTACAATGCCAACACTTTGGGAGGCTGAGGCGAGCAGATCACCTGAGGTCAGGAGTTTGAGACCAGCCTGGCCAACATGGTAAAACTCCATCTCTACTAAAAACACAAAAACTTAGCCAGGTGTGGTGGCGGGCGCCTGTAATCCCAGCTACCCGGGAGGCTGAGGCAGGAGAATGGCGTGAACCTGGGAGGCAGAGGTTGCAGTGAGCCGAGATCGCGCCACTGCGCTCCTGCCTGGGGAACACAGCAAGACTCTGTCACAAAACAAACAAGAAAGCCCATTGAGCCAGGTGCAGGCGCCTTTCACTTCTCTGAGCCTCAGTTTCTTCACCTGCAAAACAGACACTGAAACAGCACTTTCAATCCGGGGTGCACAGTACAGGCACCACTTAAGTTTTAAAGCCACAAGAGGCGGCCAGGCTCCGTGGCTCACACCTGTAATCCTAGCACTTTGTGAGGCTGAGGTGGGACAATCGCTTGATCCCAGTAGTTCAAGAACAGCCTGGGCAACACAGGGACAGAGGGACAGCCCATCTCTACAAAAAAATAAAAATTAGTTGGGCATGGTGAGCACCTGCCTGTAGTCCCAGCTACTCAAGAGGCTGAGGCGGAAGGATCACTTGAGCCCAGGAGTTCAAGGCTGCAGTGAACTATGATTGTGGCACTCCACTGCACCCTGGGTGACAGTGGGACCTCATCTCTTAAAAAAGTCCACTTTGGGAGGCAGAGGTGGACAGATCATGAAGTCAGGAGTTCGAGACCAGCCTGGCCAATAATGGTAAAACCCCATCTCTACTAAAAATACAAAAGTTAGCCAGGCGTAGTGGCACACGCCTGTAGTCCCAGATACTTGGGAGGCTGAGGCAGAAGAATCGCTTGAACCCAGGAGGCGGAGGTTGCAATAAGCCAAGATTGCGCCACTGCACTCCAGCCTGAGCAACAGAGCAAGACTCCATCTCAAAAAAAAAAAAAAAAAGTCCCAAGAGGTGCCCGGGATTCACCTTTACCCTGGCACCACCAAATCTCAATCTCTAGAGGGAAAGCCTTCTAAGAAAGTTATTTCTCAAAAGATTTTGAAACCCAGTGTCATGAAGAACAACAGAAGTGCCTTGAGCTCCATATTCTGTTTCTTCCCTGTGAACAGAACATGCTGGCCAGATGGGAGTCCAGTCATGGTCAGATGGAGTCTCTGTGCACAGAGGCAGACTTACCAAAGTGCAATCAATGCAACATATATGTATGTATATATTTTGAGACAGGGTCTGGCTCTGCCGCCCAGGCTGGAGTGCAGTGGCATGATGTTATCTCTGCTCACTGCAACCTCCACCTCCTGGCTTGAGCCATCCTCCCACCTCAGCCTCCTGAGTTGCTAGGACTACAGGTATACACCACCATGCCCAGCTAATTTTTGTATTTTTTGTAGAGATGAGGTTTCACCATGTTGCCCAGGCTAGTCTTGAACTTCTGAGCTCAAGCAATCTGCCCACCTCGGCCTGACAAAGTGCTGGGATTACAGGTGTGAGCCACTGAGCCCAGCCCAACCAATGGCAATGTATCTGGGAAATAAGGCCAATGCGACGGCTGAAGGACCACAGGTCCCAAATGCAGAAGACCCCAATCTCAGGGGCTCTGGAGGAAAACTGACCAGCTGAAATGAACAAGGATAAACACAAGCTCAGCACTAATGCAAATAACATAATCAATGGACATAAGACACAACAGAAGGTGTGCTTCTGAAGAGGGGAGCTGGATGGCTGAGGACAGCAGTCACAGGGATAACTACATTTCATTGTAACTTGCTTGTATGCCTTTTTTTCTTTAAGTTTTTGTTTTTTGTTTTTTTTGTTTTTTGAGACGAGTCTGTCTCTATCACCCAGGCTGGAGTGTAGTGGTGCCATCTCAGCTCACTGCGGCCTGCGCCTCCTGGGTTCAAGCGATTCTCCTGCCTCAGCCTCCTCAGTAGCTAGGACTACAGGTGTGCACCACCAGGCACAGGTAATTTTTGTATTTTTGGTAGAGACGGGATTTCACTGTGTTGGTAAAGCTGGTCTGAAACTCCTGACCTCAGATGATCCACCTGCCTCAGCCTCCCAAAGTGCTGGGATTACAGGTGTGAGCCACTGAGCCTGGCCTTTGTATGTCTTTTGAATGTTGCACAAATGAAAGTATTAGCTATCCGGAAAAAATCATGCCAGTCACGGTGTCTCATGCCTGTAATCCCAGCACTTTGGGAGGCCAAGATGGAGGACCACTTGAGACCAGCCTGGGCAACATATCAAGACCCCGTCTCTAAGAAAATAAATTGGAAAAAAAAAAAAAAAAAAAAAGCCAGGTATAGTGGCATGCACTTGTAGTCCTAGCTTCTTGGGGGGCTATGATGGGAAGATTTCGTGAGCCCAGTAGTTTGAGGTTACAGGCTGGGCCAAGGCCAAGGTGGGTGGATTACCTGAGGTCAGGAGTTTGAGACCAGCCTGGCCAACATGGTGAAACCCCGTATCCAAAAGTACAAAAAATCAGCGAGGTGTGGTGGTGTGTGGTATAATCCCAGCTACTGGGGAGGCTGAGGCAGGAGAATCGCTTGAACCCTGGAGGTGGAGGTTGCAGGGAGCCAAGATCGTGCCATTGCACTCCAGCCTGGGAGACAGACTCCATCTCAAAAAGAAAACAAGTTTGAGGTTACAGTGAGCTATGATCACACCACTGCACGCCAGCTTGGACGATAAAGTAAGAACCTTTTTTTTATAAAGTATTTTATAAAGTAAGAACCTTTTTTTTTTTTTTTTTTTTGAGACGGAGTCTCCCTCTGTCGCCCAGAGTGCGGGGGCGCGATCTCGGCTCACTGCAAGCTCCGCCTCCTGGGTTCACGCCATTGTCCTGCCTCAGCCTCCCAAGTAGCTGGGACTACAGGCTCCCGCCACCACGCCCAGCTAATTTTTTGTATTTTTTAGTAGAGACGGGGTTTCACCGTGTTAGCCAGGATGGTCTCTATCTCCTGACCTCGTGATCCGCCCGCCTCAGCCTCCCGAAGCGCTGGGGCTACAGGCGTGAGCCACCGCGCCCGGACCAGAACCTCTCTTAAAAAAAATCATTGGCAGAGAACAGGTTTGAGAAGAACCTAGTTGGATGTAACTGAGATGTGTAAAATAGAGGGTCTTCACTTGTGTAAAAGGCAGCCTGGTTTGCGGCTTTTTTTGTGGACAGGTGGCATCCTGGGGGTACCGTCCCTCTGATCTGCGCAGTTCATTCCTCGTCTCTGGGCCCTGGGCTGAGCACCACCTTCTGAGCAGGACCGACAAGCTAGACTACACCCAGAAAGGAGAAATTGGGATGGGGAATGGTTAGAAACTGCGGTAGGACTGAGTGAAGGGACCAGGAGCAGCCCGGGGAAGAGATGAGACCACGCGGGGCACCATCGCTGTCTCCAAATACCTTAACTGACATAAGGGAGCAGCTTTCTTTCTGAAGACAGAGCTAGGGCTGTGGATGAGCACTGCAGGAAGGCACTTTGAGGTCTATACAAGGAAAATTTTGCTAACCTTTGGAGTTGTCTCAGAGCCGAACGTAGTAAGCTCCCTGTCACCGGATGTGCTTGAGCTAAGGGCGCTGAACCACCTCTGTCAGAGATGGTGCGTCCCCCACCAGATGTGACCCCGGGATGCGAAGCCCGGGGTCAGATCTGCGAGTCAGGTAACAGCGGCACTCACTTCTCGGGTCTTCGTGAGCATTATGTCAATGAACCCAGGGCACCAAGGCGCGCAACACGCAGTAGGCGCTCAATTAGTGGCAAATGCCTCGCTCTGTACTCCGGGAAGCCCAACCTTCTCCCTGCGCCTCAGTTTCTCCCGCCGTCCTCGATGGCGCCACACTAGGTACCTTAGGGTTCAATCTCCCGAGCAGCTCCACACCCTGAGGACCCGGGGCATTTTGAGGCCGAGGGCACCCCTCGGGGCTGGCGGGCCCTTGGGAACTACGCCCCGGGCGGGTCCTCGCCCCGCCCCCGCCTCGATGGCCCCGCCCCGTCCCCCTCCCGCTGGAGCCGGCCCGGCCCGCGCTCCTTTAAGGCAGCGAGCTGGCCGTGAGAAGCGTGTTTCGCCCCCTCCGACGCCACCGAGGTAGCGGCTTCACCTTTAAGGCGGCGCGGGGGCTGCTGGGAAGGCCGGCGGGATGGAGGCGGCGGGACCGGCTCGCGGCTGCGGGTCCGGGTGAAGCGGGAGGCAGCCGGAGCTGAAACCGGAGCCGGAGCCGGGCCCTAGCACCAGGCGCAGGTCCGCGCCGGCCGATTGAGCCGGGAGACGGGATCAGGCCCTAAAGCAGGGGGAGGCTCCGGGTCGGCCTAGGGGAGGGGGTCGTCGTGGGCGCGGCCTGTGGGAGGATCAGACCAGCCCTGGTAGGGGGCGCGGTCCCGGGTGGCCCAGGGCAGGGGCGCGGCCTTTTTAGGGGAGGCCGGAGGACGTTGCGCTGGCCCAGGGTAGGGGTCGTAGTGGGCACAACCTGGAAGGACTGAGGGCCGCGGTCTCAGCCCCTGTAGGGGATGGCCTCCGCAGGGTCCGCCCGTCGGGAGGATGGGCTCCGCGGCTTGGCCTGCCGGTTGGGGATGGGGCTGTCCGAGGGGCTGGGCCCGGATCGCCGGAGGGACCAGGGTCTCCTGCACAGGAGTGAGCCCCTACGTTCCCCATACCTGTCCTGGTTAGGGGGTCCCCGGGGAAACCCGGACACTGGGCCGCCTAAGTCGGCCTAAGCCGGTGGTCTGGGGCCGAAGCAGGGTCCGGCCGCACCGCATTGCGTCTCCCTGGCCAAGACGAGCCGGGCGCGCCCTCTGTAGGCCAAGCGTGGGCACGGTACGGGCTGCCGGCTGGGGGACCTGGGCACACGGGACCAGGCGTCCGGGGACCGCCTGTGTTTACCTAATCTGGGGCGGTGTGGCCCCAGGCCCGGCGCCCGCCTGCCCGCACCCTCGTCCTCACAGACGCCACAACCATGGCCATGATGGTGCTTCCGCGGGAGGAGAAGCTGAGCCAGGATGAAATCGTGCTGGGCACCAAGGCCGTGATCCAGGGACTGGAGACTCTGCGTGGGGAGCATCGTGCCCTGCTGGCTCCTCTGGTTGCGCCTGAGGCCGGCGAAGCCGAGCCTGGCTCACAGGAGCGCTGTATCCTCCTGCGTCGCTCCCTGGAAGCCATTGAGCTTGGGCTGGGTGAGGCCCAGGTAGGTCAGTCTCGGGTACTGAGGTGGGCGGTCACTGGAGGGATCGAGCCTTCCAGAGAAATCCAGTAATCTAGGAGAAGAATCTGAGCAAGGAATCTTCTGTTTCCTGGAGCCCCGTGTTAGGACCCCAGTAAATACCTTTTGAAGAAATAAATGCACTTTGGCGACCCCAGCCCTGCCGTAAGAGACCATGATCACCCTCGCCCCCACGCAGAGCCCCATTCCCAGCTCCCCTCTACCTAAGGGAGACTGGATGGCATATGAGAACAGAAAGAAAATCCTTAAGGAAACACAGCCTCCCACCGATTTATTCTTCTATTCATTCGTTAACAGATGAGTTTTTCAGTGCCAGCCAGGGCGTTAGGTGGATACAGGACCCAACAAAATAGAGAGGATTCCTGCCCTATTTGGAAAAGAGACAAAAGCACACATACGGAAATAATTGGTTGTTACAAATTGTGATGAGTTCTATAAAGAAAAGAACAAGATTTTATGATAGCTCACAGCGGTGAGTCTTGTCTACTGGTCAGGCAGGATTTCTGTGAGGAAATGACAAACTGAAACCTGAGGGAAGAAATGAACCAGTCTCCAGGAAAGGGAGGCAGGGGAGAAGTTGCATGTGCAAAGGTCCTGGGGTAGCAGTTGTCATGGAGGAACTCGGGGAAGAACTGTGTGACTGGAGCTTCATGGAAGGGAGAGAGGGACAGAAGAGGCCTGGGGAGAAGCCAAGAGCCAGATCATGGCCTCGTTAGTGTGGGTTTTATTCTCAGGAAGTCAGAAAGCCTCTGGAGGGCTTTAAGCAGACAGGCAACACAGTCTGACTTGAATTTCTAAAAACTCTCTCTGGCTGAGATGTGGAGAATAAACCTCAGTGGGTCGAGGATGCAATCACTCTCCAGTGAGTGGTTAGGAAGCCACTGCTGGAATTCAAATCAGAGCTGGTGCTTGGAATTAAGGGGTGGCTATGATGGTGGAGAAAAGGGACCAGTTCTGGATGTTCTGGAGGTAGGTCCAGCAAGACCCAGGGTGGAATAAGGGAGAGAGAGGAAGGCAGCATCACTCCCAGGTTTGTGATTTAAGCACATTAGGGAGGAGAGGGCCTGGGTGGATCAGAACTCTGTTTTGGCCCCCTTTAGTTGAGGCTGCCAGGATGATATGCAATTGGAGATGTCCAGGAGCCATTGAGATGTGCAAGGAGTTAGACTTGTTTTATTCTCCTCAGAGCTTGGCTGAACCCCTGCCTGGCACGTGAACCCTGGGGAGGTTGTATCGTCTTGGTTTCCTTTTCTTTAAAATAGGGATCATGCCATCTGCTGTATATACTTCCAGGCTGTTGGGGGAATTTTTTTTTTTAAGCTAGTGGTTATGGAAACACCTGTCACTTAGGCATTTGCTAACCAACTGTAAAGTACAGGGTCTCAGACGGCCTGGCCCTCTGCAAGGACATTCACTCCTCTGCCAGTTGGCCATCAGAGGCAGAGAGGACCAGTCAGGGGTCCCACACCTGGTGGAGCACATGCACTCTTACAGAGGGGGAACAGTCTGCATGGAGGGCATGGGCATCAAGGCCATCTGTGAAGCTGGAGCAGAGTGGGAGGTGTGACTAGCTGGAGACACCACTGCAGAAATGACCCTGGACCATGAAGGACCAGGAAAGGGTGGAGGCCAGGTGTGGTGGCTCACGCCTGTAATTCCAGCACTTTGGGAGGCCCAGGTAGGAAGACTGCTTAAATCCAGGAGTTCATGAGACCCCGTATCTATGAAAAAAATTTTTATTTTCATTTATTTATATTTGAGACAGAGTCTCACTGTGTTACCCAGGCTGGAGTATAGTGGTGCAGTGTCCGTTCACTGCAGCTTCCACCTCCCAGGTTCAAGCGATTCTTCTGCCTCAGCCTCCTGAGTAGCTGGGACTACAGGCACGCACCACCACACCCAGCTAATTTTTGTATTTTTAGTAGAGATGGGGTTTCACCATGTTGGCCAGGATGGTCTCAATCTTCTGACCTCATGATCTGCCCACCTCAGCCTCCTGAAGTGCTAGGATTACAGGTGTGAGCCACCGCACCTGGCCAAAATTTTTTTTTAAATTAGCCAGGTGTGGTGGTGTGCACCCATAGTCCCAGTTACTCAGGAGGCTGAGGTGGAAGGACCACTTGGGCCTGGAAGGTGGAAGCTGCAGTGAGCTGTGACGGTGCCATAGCCCTTCAGCCCAGGTGACAGAGTGAGACATTGTCTCAAATTAAAAAAAAAAAAAAAAGAGCAAGAAGGGAGGTTGGAACCTAGGCAGGAACGCAAGAAGAGACTGGAAACTCAGAAAAGGAGTTATAGAGGCTGGGGAGAGGGGTGGGGGTTGAGGCCAAGGCCTCTGGATACTTTTCCTGCCCCTGTGGTTCCTCACGCCAGCTGAGCATTTGGGATACATGCCCCTTCCCTACCTGGGAGCTGCAGAAAGGCAGGGGATGCTGTGGCCCCCTCAGCAGAAGTGGGGATGGAGTCTTTGGGTGGCCCTTCAGCCATCTAGCAGAGTTCTGTGGGCAAGCGCTAGCCCTGGGGCAGGGAGCAGTAACCTTGTGGCTGTGGCAGCAGGGGCCTGAGTACAACCCAGGGAGAGATGAAGGAAGGGGCTAGTAGCTCAGGGAAAGCACAGCACCCCAACTAGCCCTTTTGGGGTTCTCCTGATCCCAGAAGGAAGGAACTGGGGACTCCCAGGCCTCCTGGGTTTGGGCTTTGCACTATGGTGTGTTTGAGGCCTTGAGGAGATTCTCCCTTGACTAGGAGAGAAAAGGCCTATAGCTCCTCACTGTAGGGCCAGGCCTGGCCCTTCACTGGGTCCCAGAGCCCAACTAGGCCCAGGCTACAGTCATAGGCGAGGGGTCGATGGGGCTCCGACCCTTACCTGGGCTGGTTGCACAGGTGATCTTGGCACTGTCGAGCCACCTGGGGGCCGTAGAATCAGAGAAGCAGAAGCTGCGGGCGCAGGTGCGGCGCCTGGTGCAGGAGAACCAGTGGCTGCGTGAGGAGCTGGCAGGGACGCAGCAGAAGCTGCAGCGCAGTGAGCAGGCCGTGGCCCAGCTGGAGGAGGAGAAGCAGCACCTGCTGTTCATGAGCCAGATCCGCAAGTTGGATGAAGACACCTCCCCTAACGTGAGCTCCTACCATGGTCACTGTTGCCCAGAAAGGGGGCCTGGGAGCAGGGAGGGGCAGCATGGAGCAAATTCAGCTCCACCCCAGCCCACGGACACCCTGGCTGCCCTGTGTCTCCTTCCCTGACGCTCATCCTGTCTTCCTTCCCAGGAGGAGAAGGGGGACGTCCCCAAAGACACACTGGATGACCTGTTCCCCAATGAGGATGAGCAGAGCCCAGGTGCGGATGGGCAGTTCTAGAGTGGGGGAAGGAAAGGTTGTGTGAACTCTTGGTCCTTGGGACCAAGTGGCTGCCATGTTCCTTCCTGCCTCACTTCTGATCATGACATCCTAGCGTGTTAGAGCTTCAAGAACAATCATGCGTGCTGCTGCTTCTCACATCCCCCCAGCTCTGTGGGGAGCAGACATCACAGTTAAGAGCTATGGAGTCGCCAGCCTGGCTTCCAGTGCTGCTCTGCCACTAGTTGCCCTGACCCTTGGGAGAGTTCTTTTCTCCTCCGAGTCACCTCTGAGGGAGGCATGTGCAGACAGCCACACTGGGGCCAGTGCCTGCTTTGCTCATGGTACTGGTCGTGCATCGGGGCCTCCACTCTGTACAGAGGGACACAGGCTCAGAGGTTAGGCGACTTGCCCCATTACACAGAGCCTGAAGTACTAGAGCTGGGCCTCTACCCCCTCTTTCTATAGGGTAACTAGACCCACTGTATAAATGGGGTAACTGAGAAAGAGTGGTTAGTGACTTGCCCAGGGCCACGTGTCAAGTGGCTCAAAGGCACAGCTGGCAGGTACCATCTCAGCCCAGTGGGCAGATGGTACATCTGACCTCCTGCCCTTGGCCCTGCAGCCCCTAGCCCAGGAGGAGGGGATGTGTCTGGTCAGCATGGGGGCTATGAGATCCCGGCCCGGCTCCGCACCCTGCACAACCTGGTGATCCAGTACGCCTCACAGGGCCGCTATGAGGTAGCTGTGCCACTCTGCAAGCAGGCACTCGAAGACCTGGAGAAGACGTCAGGCCACGACCACCCTGACGTTGCCACCATGCTGAACATCCTGGCACTGGTCTATCGGTGAGGACTCTCTGGGGGTGCCCAAATTCTTCTGGAACGCTTCAGCCCTGGATCACTAACCCTTGGTGCGTGCTGTGGGCCCAGACTCGGGGCCCACCTGTGTGGAGCTGGGCTACAGATGCGAGTAAAACTGTCTAGTGTAGGAGAGAGGCTTCGCCAGAACTGGGGAGGGACTGCACATGAGGACTCCAGGGGTCCTGGGGAGTCTGCACAGCTTCTCCAGGCACTAAGACTGGAGGAGGGGCTTTGCCAGAAAGTGAGTTTGGCTGAACACAAGAGGCTAGAAAAGGTTCCCATGGCAAAAAGCCAGCATGAACAAAGGCACTGGGACCTGGAGAGCGGGACACGCTAAAGGGGCAGCAGGAGAGCCATGTGGTGCCCAGGGATACTAGGCACCAGGCAGTCAGTGGGACTCCAGCACCGCACACCCCAGCCAATTGTGAGAAAACTGCCCACAGGCCCTGGAGCTCGGAGAGCAGGAGCTAAGCAGGTCTCCCCACACTCTGGGTCCCACTCTGTCATACTCACTCACTGAGTACAGGAGTGACCACAGGGACTGCAGGCCACTGGGGAGGGCCTCGAGCTGGGGGACAGCCCTGACCATGCTCCCACCTGCTCCCAGGGATCAGAACAAGTATAAGGAGGCTGCCCACCTACTCAATGATGCTCTGGCCATCCGGGAGAAAACACTGGGCAAGGACCACCCAGCCGTGAGTGAGGGTTGGGTGGGAGGTGGGGGCTGTGCCCCATCCCCTGCAGGTCCCAGAGTCCTGCAGGGCCTGGGTCAAGGAGCTTCCATTCTCCCACCTCCAGGTGGCTGCGACACTAAACAACCTGGCGGTCCTGTATGGCAAGAGGGGCAAGTACAAGGAGGCTGAGCCATTGTGCAAGCGGGCACTGGAGATCCGAGAGAAGGTGGGAGCAGGCAGGGCTGGGCAGGCCAGGGGTCTGGGAGGCAGGGGCCCGGGCAGCCCTGAACCCAACCCCTGGCTTCCTCTCCCATCCCAGGTCCTAGGCAAGTTTCACCCAGATGTGGCCAAGCAGCTCAGCAACCTGGCCCTGCTGTGCCAGAACCAGGGCAAAGCCGAGGAGGTGGAATACTACTATCGGCGGGCGCTGGAGATCTATGCTACACGCCTCGGGCCCGATGACCCCAATGTAGCCAAGACCAAGAACAACCTGGTGCCTTGAGGCTGGAAGGGGCTGGAGGATGGAAAGGAGGGAGGCAGGGATGACGCTGGGGAAGAAGGAGAGAAAAAGGCTTGGCTCCATGCATCCTGTTCACTCTCTGGGTCTCCCACTTCCAGGCTTCCTGCTACCTGAAGCAGGGCAAGTACCAGGATGCAGAGACCCTGTACAAGGAGATCCTCACCCGCGCTCATGAGAAAGAGTTTGGCTCTGTCAATGGTGAGTGTGTGGTTGCCACGTGCCTCTGGCCAATCCATCCCAGGCCCACTCTGCCATCAGCACCCAGGACAGATCCCTCAGCTGGGCAGGCCATCAGACTTTGGCCTGGCTGGTCCCCAGCTTCACCCCTAGATGGTGCCCAGCCACCCGTGCTCACGTTTGCACATGTGAGCATACACCCAACTCATGCAGCCCCCTTGGCCTGCCAGTGCCTCACACACCTTTGCATCCCCCTTCTTCACTGGCAACTCCTGCTCACCTCATCTCCCACTCTGAGAAACTACCTCCGGCCCCGGATGGTCAGTTGTCATCTGCTCCTGAGTCCCTCAGAGCCTGGCCCATCATTCAGGCCTAGCACATGTCTTGGGCTGTGGCCTGAGGTGTAAGGGTCTCTTCTGCTCATCTCTTTGTCCAGAAGAGGGTCAGTAGTGTTTTGGGGCTTATTCTTGTTCATTCATTCAACAAAGCCCAACCCTGGTCTCCCCACCCCTGACCCCAGTCCTGTGTCCAGCCCAACCAGGTGAGGCCTATATGGTAGGCCGCTGACAGTCTCCTTTCTCTCCCCAGGGGACAACAAGCCCATCTGGATGCACGCAGAGGAGCGGGAGGAAAGCAAGGTAGCTCTGTGGGGCAGGTTGGGTGGTTGTCAGGGGAGGCGGGGATGTGCAGAACGGGGCCTGCTCTCACTTAGTGTGACCATTCTTTTTCCAGGATAAGCGCCGGGACAGCGCCCCCTATGGGGAATATGGCAGCTGGTACAAGGCCTGTAAAGTAGACAGGTGAGGGGGGCGGGGTGGGGCTGGGGAGCAGAGCATGGCAGGGCAGTCTCCACATTCCATACTCTCACTCCTAACACACCCCTCCTCTGCCGCTCATCTGGCAAGGCCCAGCTCACAGGTCACCTGTCCCAAGAAGGCTCTGTCTCCTAATTCTCAGCCTAATTATCTTGCTCTGGGTCTCCCAGCTTTCGGTCCTGGTGACAACATCCCATGAGGGCCCTGGAGCCAGGTCCCTAGCCCTGGCGTGATTCCCCCAGGGCAGAAGAGGCTGGGTGGGCCCAGCACAGGGCTTGACATGGGAGGGAATGGATTCTGGCTACCCCAGAGGTCCCTATTTCCTCAGGGCCCCCTATAGGCTGGGTGCCAGGACGGGCCCTGGGTCTGGAGAAACATGGAGTTTGAGACTGTCCCATCCACAGCCCCACAGTCAACACCACCCTGCGTAGCTTGGGGGCCCTATACCGGCGCCAGGGCAAGCTGGAAGCCGCACACACACTGGAGGACTGTGCCAGCCGCAACCGCAAGCAGGTGGGGCTCCATGCAGGAGGGGGTGGGCAGACACCTGTGTGGCCCTGAGTGTGGCCCAGTCACGGCATGATGCCCCTGCCCCTCCCTGATGCCCCTGCCCCTCCCTCAGGGTTTGGACCCCGCAAGCCAGACCAAGGTGGTGGAACTGCTGAAAGATGGCAGTGGCGGGCGGGGAGACCGCCGTGGCAGCCGAGACGTGGCCGGGAGTGCCGGGCCCCGGTCTGAGTCTGACCTCGAGGATGCGGGACCTACAGCTGAGTGGAGTGGGGTGAGTCTAGGGGCTGGGGCCGGGCCGGGAGCCTAGGTGGCCAGTGGGGCCTAGAGGTGAGCCTGTCCACCTGCAGGATGGCAGTGGCTCCTTGCGGCGCAGCGGCTCCTTTGGGAAGCTCCGAGACGCCCTGAGGCGCAGCAGTGAGATGCTGGTAAAGAAGCTGCAGGGGGGCGGCCCCCAGGAGCCCCCTAACCCCAGGTGAGCCCCCCACCAAGGTGAGCCTCAGGAACCACCCAGCAACCCCAGATGAGCTCCTGACCCATGAGTGTGCCCCACTGACCCCAGGCAACCTCCCCATCCCTCTCAGGCTCCACCACCCACCAGTCTGCTCCCTCCCCAGCCCCACCCTGCTCCCTGCCCCCATCTCCCCTGAGTTCCTCCTTGGGCAAATACCACGCTGTCCTTTTCCCTCAGGATGAAGCGAGCCAGTTCCCTCAACTTCCTCAACAAGAGCGTGGAAGAGCCGACCCAGGTAGGGGCAAGCAGGTGTCCGGGCACTGGGCGGCTGTGGCCGGGGCTGCATGTGCACTGCCAAGCTTCCCTCCAGCATGCCTCTTCATCCGACATGGGAGGGAATGGATTCTATCCCAGGCCTACTTTGGGCTGGACAAAGGGGAGACACAGGAGGGGAACCCAGTCTCTCCTGGGGGTGGATGTGTAAATGGCCAGTGCCAACACAGTCACCGTGGAGATGGGCGGGAGTGTCAGGGCACCAGGGCGTGGGCTTGGGCCGGAACTGCCACTGCCTCTGCCCAGCTCAGGGACTCTGGCTGCCTCTGCTGGGTCAGGCCCCTTCAGGCCAGGGAGGCACAGACTGGCAGCAGCACAGGGCTGAGCCACCTGCCCCCTCTGCCCACAGCCTGGAGGCACAGGTCTCTCTGACAGCCGCACTCTCAGCTCCAGCTCCATGGACCTCTCCCGACGAAGCTCCCTGGTGGGCTAATGCTGAAGGGGCAGCCAGTCACCAGAGCGCCCACCTGGCACACCCCCCTCACCCCAGCCCTGCGCATGGGCCTGCTGCTTGTCCCGCCTGTCTCTCCCACAGCCCCTGTCTTTTCTGTTCAATCTCAGGGTAACCTTCTCCCTTGTCATCTCAGCCTGAGCCCTGGAGGCTGGGCCTGCCCACTCCAGCTCGATCCCTTATTTATTCCTTCCAGCAGGGCCCTCTTCCTTAGGTTCGGGGCCAGCAGGAGGTGCCGGCTGGAGTCTCCACCATAGACTCAGTGGCCTGGCCTCCCCAGACCCCAGAGCCAAGAACACTAAGCACTCGCCGGCCCTTCGGCACCTTCGCCCTCCCTCCCAACTCAACCCGGCCGTTGCTTCTGTATATAGAGAAATAAGTTATTGGCCGCGCCCCACCCTTCAGTCCACGGTACTACCCGGGCCTTCCCTCGTCCCTCCTCTAGTGGTACCGCCCAGGCCTTAATCACCCCCATTCCGTGCGGTGGTATCTCCCAGGCTCCACATTCTCGGGAGTGGCGCCTCCCAAGTGGCTCCCGGGACCTTCTCGCGCTCCTCCTGGCCTCTGAGGGATGCGTCCTACCCCGCCATCGCCCCGTGCCCCAGGACGGGGACCTCCCCTTAGTCAGTCCTCCCACCGCCGGGCCCTGCCCCGCATCCCGGCCTTATGCACTGCCCCTCCCGCCCGGCCCCGCCCCGCCCAGGCACGGCCCGACCCCGCCCCGGGCACCGCCCACCGAGCCATCCTGCCACGCCTCTCCCCACGCCTGCAGCTTCTCGCGAGGGGCAGCGACGGTCCCTTGGTGGCAGGAGGGGCTCCCCCTGTTGCGGGTGAGGCGGCTGCTCTCTATTTTCAGATGTTGCTGTAGAAATAAAGACGGTTTGAATCTGAGCCGGGCTTGTTTTGAGGCGGAGGTCGGGGTCCCCCCGCGTCTCTAAACGGGTGGAGCCGGGAAGGGTCGCGCGTGAGTGGGGGACAGTGTGTCTCGCTCAACCGCTGTCCGCGCAGCTGGGCCCAGATATTCTGCCCCACCCCGGAATTGGGTGGGGGCCCCACAAGTCAGGCTTTCCCTAAAACCTTCACTTGTGGGGTTCTGGAGACCGCGGGCTCTTACGAGCTCTGTTCTTCACAAAGTTTTTGACTTTGAGTGAGTTTCCCGAGACTCAGTTTTTTCATCTATGAAATGCGGGTGATGACACGCGGCTGCGAGTTAGGAGTGCCCAGTACACGAGGAACCCTGGACAAGTGAACTTTTACTAGTCTTACTAGATCCCACATTCTCATTTAATGTTCACAACGTGGGTATTGGGAGGGTAAGGATGACTGTCTCCGTCAGACAGATGTGAAATGTGCCAAGCCCAGCTCTCAACTGAGCTTTTTAAACACCGAGACGCCGTCAGGCTTTCCAGCACTTTGCTCAAGCCTAGGTGCGTCCGGCGTGCAAACTACAAGCCCCAGAAGGCAATGCGCCAGTAGTGATGGGAGTGGGCGCGAAGGCACGGGCTCCCCGACTACGCCTGCGCAGCAGGGCTGAGTTGGAGAACGTCTCAGACTACAAGTTCCGAGAACCAGCGCGGCGAGGCCTGAGAAGAGGACGTTTGCGCCTGCGCGTCGCGGGCGGGGCCTCTGGGGCGGAGCGGCCACCATCTTGGAACGGGAGGCGGAGCAGAGCCGACTGGGAGCGACCGAGCGGGCCGCCGCCGCCGCCATGAACCCCGAATAGTGAGTGAGCCCCGCCCGCGCCGTCCAGCGCAGCCTCGATCCCGAATACGGGGCTGTACGCTTACCGGGGTTGTCTGGCCCGGGTCAGGACTGTGCGGCGCCCCCACATCCGGGTCCCTCTTCCGCTGACCCCCCCCCTCACATCCGGGTTCTGCCCCTCCCCCCAGGGGCCCCAGGACCCCGGCTCAACACCCCGAGCTCTCACACCCGGGGCCCAGACGTGGCGACCCCGAGGGGCAGCTCTTGGAGCCCGAGACACCGGCCCTACCAGGCCTTATCGGTCAGATGACCCCGCAGTCCCGGTCACTTCAGGCCTCAGTTTCCCCACCTGCTGCTTGACAACTGTCCTGGAGTTTGGGAGCCCGTCTTTAGATAGTTTCTGGTCTCGGGTTCAGGCTCGGGCCCTTTAGGTCGGGCGGTGAATCCCTCTACCCTTCTCTTTCTCCTGAAGCCCGGCTCCTGGGGCCGGCCCAGAAACTGGCCAACTAAGCGGGAGGCCCCGAAGCGCCGCTTGAGTCGCGTCTCCCGCAGGTCCTCTCTTCCGGGGCTGCCTCCTACCCTTTGCCTGGGTTACGCTGACCTGTCGCTCCCGACGGTCCGTCCTTTCCCGCCCTCTCCTCGCTTTTGCTCAGGCCTCCAACGCCACCGTCGCACCCCTTCCCTTGGCTGTCACACTGCTTGTGAAGTTTAGATGAATATGGAATTTGCTCTCCCCCTTCCAGCGGGATTCTCTGGTCCTCAAACTCTCCTCACTCTTGGTCACTCCCTCTGCGGGTAGGTGGCCCACATCTCATGCCCAGGACTAATAGTTTTCCCCAAGTATCAATTATCTTCTTCCTCTTCTGCCACTTCCTTTTTCTCCTCCACATCCAGGTCTCAGATTTCCTTGGGGAAGGGTGAAGCTCTGAGCTGGATTGGGAGGGGAACAGAGAAGGGAACCAGCAGGCTCTCGCAGGGACTTTGGAGTCTGACAAACCTGGTTTGAGTCTTAAAGCGAAAAACTGTGTAAGTTAGGGCAAGTCACTTCCCTTCTCTGGCCTCTAGTTTCCTCATTAGTTGACAATGATAAAACCGACTTCATTGGACTGTTGTGAAGATTAAATGAGATGATACATTTGAAGTACTTCACACAGGGAACTCAACTGTGTGACTTCACACAGTCACAAGTTGGAACTCAATATTGTGAAATGTGATTACCTTTTTTTTTTTTTTTTGAGACAGGGTCTCTCTCTGTCACCCAGGCTGGAGTACAGTGGCACAATCATGGCTCACTGCAGTCTCCAACTCTTGGGCTCAAGCATTCCTCCTGCCTTGTCCTCCTGAGTAGCTGGGAATACAGAGGTACACCACCACATCTGGCACATTTTTTAATTTTTTGTAAAGACAGGGTCTCCATTTGTTTCCCAGCCTGGTCTCAAATTCTTGGGCTCAAATGATCCTTGTGCCTCGGGCTCCCAAAATGTTGGGATTACAGGTGTCAGCCACTGCACCCAGCCTTAAGTGCAATTTTCATTGCAACTTGACCACCTCTTCCTGGTGACTTCATAACAGGTTTTTTGTTGTTGTTTCCAAAGAGATGGGGTGGACTGGGCGTGGTGGCTTACGCCTGTAATCCCAGCACTTTGGGAGGCTGAGGCGGGTGGATCACGAGGTCAGAAGATTGAGACCATCCTGGCCAACATGATGAAACCCCGTCTCTACTAAAAATACAAAAATTAGCCAAGTGTGGTGGCATGTGCCTGTAATCCCAGCTACTCTGGAGGCTGAGGCGGGAGAATCACTTGAACCCAGGAGCTGGAGGTTGCAGTGAGCCGAGATCGTGCCACTGCACTCCGGCCTGGTGACAGAGTGAGACTCCATCTCGAAAAAAAGAGAGAGAGACAGGGTCATGCTACATCACCCAGGCTGGTCATGTACTCCTGGGCTCCAGGGATCCTCCTCCTGCTTCACCCTCCCCAGTAGCTGGGACCACAGGCACACGCCACAGCACCCGGCCATCAGTCTCTTTACATGGGTTTTTCACTTAACAGGTTCTAGACTGTGCCCTGGGTTCTACTTCTGGGGCCTCCTCTGCCAAGCCAGGCATACCACAGGTCATGTACTGGGGATTCCCTAAATAGCCCCTACTGTACCAAACCATGAAGTCTCAGAAATCAGGGTAGGATACCCAGCTCTGTCGCCTTGGCAGGTCACGTCCCTCTCTGTGTCTTGATTTCTTTCTCCATAAAGTGAGAATTTAGACTCAGCAAGCTGAGAGCCCTTTGGGCTAGCTTTTTCTGGAGTGGGGCATCAGCCCTCCCTGACCGGGACTGGTGGGAAGATCTGGTGAGCACCATAGTATTCTAAACCAAAGGATGACCAGGCTCACCCCTGTGATCCCAGCACTTTTAGAGGCCAAGGCAGGTGAATCGATTGAACTCAGGAGTTTGAGACCAGCCTGGGCAACATAGTGAGACCCCATCTCTACAAAACATAAAAAGAGTAGCCAGGGGCCGGGTGTGGTGGCTCACACATGTAATCCCAGCACTTTGGGAGGCTGAGGCAGGTGGATCACCTGAGGTCAGGAGTTTGAGATGAGCCTGGCCAACATGGTGAAACCCTGTCTCTACTAAAAATACAAAACTTAGCCAGGCATGGTGGCAGGTGCCTGTAATCCCAGCTACTCGGGAGGCCGAGACAGGAGAATTGCTTGAACCTGGCAGGTGGAGGTTGCAGTGAGCCAAGATCACGCCATTGCACTCCAGCCTGGGTAACAAGAGCGAAACTCCGTCTCAGGAAAAAAAAAAAAAAAGATTAGTTAGAAGTGGTGGTGGACACCTGAAGTCCCAGCTACTCGGGAGGCTGAGGTGGGAAGATCACTTTGAGCCTGTGAGGTAGAAGCTGCAGTGAGCCATGATCACTTCAGTGCACTGCAGCCTGGGTGACAGAGTGAGACCTTATTGCTAAAAAAAATAAAAATAAACCAAGGGATGCCTCGTGGGGTGGGGGAATCCTCTAATTGTGACTCCAGGATGATGGTAGGTGGGCTCCCTGCCTCCCTTCACACCTTCCCATCCTCTCTCTCCAGTGACTACCTGTTTAAGCTGCTTTTGATTGGCGACTCAGGCGTGGGCAAGTCATGCCTGCTCCTGCGGTTTGCTGTGAGTAAGAAGCCTCCCATACCATCTACCTGGGGTCCTGACTGGCAGCTGGGGGGAGAAGGGACCACCCAGAGCACAGTAGTCGCAAGATCTGGGAACCAGGGGTGAAGCTGTAAGACCTGCCAGCAGCACATCTGCCCTGAACAAGACACAGGGCTGGCCATCTGGGTGCTGGGAATTGGGGCTTGGTGATTAGGAGACCCCGCTGGGGCTGGAAGCTGGAGGGAGGCTTTCCAAGTGGGCCTCACCTCATTTACTCCCATCATTTCACTGGCCCCTGAACTTCCAGGATGACACGTACACAGAGAGCTACATCAGCACCATCGGGGTGGACTTCAAGATCCGAACCATCGAGCTGGATGGCAAAACTATCAAACTTCAGATCGTGAGTGTCGCTCTTCCCAAAATCCCTGGTACAGAGGTGTCCGCCTTGGGAGGGAAGGGACTCTGGGAATCTGGACCCCAGCTGACCTGCTCCTCTGCCTACTGTCTCCTAGTGGGACACAGCGGGCCAGGAACGGTTCCGGACCATCACTTCCAGCTACTACCGGGGGGCTCATGGCATCATCGTGGTGTATGACGTCACTGACCAGGTACTCCTGGACTAGCCATCCTCAGCTTGGCCTCCTTAGCCTTAGGTCTTTGACTCTTCTTTTTCCTCCTTCCATCTTCTCTTTCCTAATGCTTCCTGGAAAAGACACTGTACTTGTCTGCTTGCGGGAACTAACTAGGAAAAAGAAAAAAATAGGTGACTGTACTTGGACTCATTTCACAAGGAGGGAAACAACCACAGAAATAGATCCTCCCAAGGCCCTGTTGCAGGTTCTGGCAGGACAAGCCCTCACACCTTCCCTCCCCGCCAAGCCAAACTTACCGCCTTATTGTAGACCTTCTGGGCACCTGCATGTTATGGGAGTTTAGTCAGGCGGTTGGCTGCTATGATGGGTCTGTGGCTTCCTGTGTGAAGACACAGTGCAGGGGGACAATTAGAGGGCCTTAGACAAAGAAGTGAGGAGGCTTGAGCTCTGGGCCCAATGCAAGCAGAGATCCAGAAGCTCTGTGCCTCCAGTAGCAGTGTTAGTCCCATGTGACTGACAGTGGTGGTAGCAAGAGCCGAAAATGGTTCCATGAAACCTTATAGTTTACAGAACCTGGCCCAGCCCTTAGATTGCCTCTGATGCTCAGAAGAGGTCTGTGTTATGTTCCCATCGCACAGGTAAGGAGTTGGGCTCAGGATGGTGAGGTGACTTGCCGAGGGTCCTTCGGCTAGTCCAGTGGCAGAGACAGAAAACCTGGATGGCTCATTCCACCTGCTTTGTTTTTTTCTACCAAATGTTGTTGCTTAACAGGGCCGAGCCCTGGGGATGAGGAGAAGCTTAAATCAGCCGTGGGCTGGTAAGAGTCCCTGTCTGAGGAGCAGCCGGGCTCTGTAGCTCACCAGGGACTCGTGATGTCCTCAGCTCTGGACGAGCTGTGGGGAAGCTACATACCACCCAGACAGGTTACCAGGGCCCACCTGACTGCCATCTATCCAGTGATCTCATTTCAGCAGATTGACCTCTCGTGGCTTTGAACTCTGTTCTCCTCTCTCCTTGAAAAGTGTACCGTTTGTAGCTCACCAGGACTCGTGATGTCCTCAGCTCTGACGAGCTGGGTGGGGAAGTACATACCACCCAGACAGGTTACCAGGGCCCACCTGGACGCCATCTATCCAGTGATCTCATTTCCACAGATTGACCTCTCCTCGTGGCTTTGAACTCTGCTCTCTCTTGAAAAGTGTACCGCTCCCAGCTCAGTCTCCTGGCAGGCACTTGATTCTCATTGTCAATGTCTGTTTGCTGTGTGTCTCGTGCTGCCTCCCATCACCCCTGGGTGTTTGGTGCTTCCGACTGTCCTGGGCTCTCCTTACTCTGGTGCATGACTGGGGCCACTTCCGTGGTTTGCTTCTCGCTTTGTCTTCTGTGATTCCTGCATCTAACAGCTGTGGCTGTGGCTTCCCTCCTCTGTCCATGTCTATGCTGGCACTTTGTGTCTGTGTTAATTCTGATCTTCATGATCTTCTCTAGTAAACTAAATGGTGGGGTTTGTGTTTTCCAGATGAGGAAACTTGCTTGGAGAGGTGTTAAGTAACTTGCCTCCGGTCTCACAGGAAGGGCAAAGCCAGTTTTGGAGGGCTCTTGGCTTTTGAGCACACCCTTTCCCCCGCCTCAAGCATCTCTGCAGAACTCAGATGTCCAGCACTGGCCTCACTGTCTCTCCCCAAACCAGCGTCTCCATCCACATTTTTAATACTTTTATTTATTTTAAAATGTGGGGTCTCGCTCTGTCACCCAGACTGCAGTGCAGTGGTGTGATCATAGCTCGTTGTAACCTCAACCTCCTGGGCTTAAGGGATCCTCCTGCCTCAGCCTATAGGTGCACACCACCACGCCCAGCTGCATCCCCATCTTTGTGACACAATTCTTACCAGGCTGACCAGAAAACTCTTCCCTCCCCCATCCAGTCAGTCTCAAGTCCCCTCTGTTCTCTCCCTATCGTCTTCCTCAAATCTGTTTTCTCATGATAATAGCAGTGATGAGGATTATAGCAGCTCTTGCCAGGTAAGCACTTGTTATGAGACAAGCCTGCGTTCATTCTCTTCATGCTCACAACAGCCCTTCTGGGAGGTACTGTTTCTAGAAATGAGGAAACTGAGGCTCACAGTGGTCAGGGGACATACCTGAGGTCACACAGTAAATGGCTGAGCCAGGCCTTCAGCAGCGGTGGTCTAAATCCTGTGTGCATCCCTGGCTTGGTGCACATTCTCTTCCCTGGGTTATTCCAACCATTCCCAGTTGGTCTTCATCTTGCTGGTCTGATCTGGCCTCTGTCTCCTGTCAGGACTAGCTTTCCAGAGCACAGGTGTGATCTTGCTGCTTCTGGCCTGAGAAAATGCCCACTGGCTCCTGGTTGTCCAAGACTTAGCCAGGCTGAGACAGTCTGTGCTCTGGCCTCTCCCCATTCCCCGCTCTGTCCTCCCCCGTCCCCTCTCCCCCTTCTCCCCTCTAAGAACGAAGCAGGTTGAGATGTCTGTGCTCTGGCCTCTCCCCTATTCCTCGCTTGTCCTCTCTGCCCCTCCTCCTCTTCTTCCCCTCTCCTCTCTCCCCTTTCCTCTCCCTTTTCCTCTCCCTCTCTCTCTTCCTTTCCCTCTCTCCCTTTGCTGAGGTATCCCAGCAACATTCCACTTCCTCCCATTCCCCAGAGACACCATGCCCCTCCCATTCAGTGACCTGGCACATGCTGGCTCCCCAGCTGGCACCTCTCCTGCACAAGGCCAGTTCCCACCTGCAGGCTTGGGCCTGCTGTTGCTCCCACCTCAAGCAGAGGTGGTCTGGGGGCTCCCCGGTCCCTGCCTTCTAACCTGTTTTGCCCTTGTGTGTGGCCTGGTCTATTCCTCTGCTGTCCTGTGAATGTGTTAGGGCAGGACTCAGGTATGATTTCCCCCTTTGTCCCCAGCACTTAGTGCAGGACCCAACTTGGAACATGGCAAGAGTTTGAGCCAGTCTAAGTTTGAGCCAGTGTGATGTCATCAGGCCTCTGGCTCCTAAGGAGGAAAAGTGGCACTAGCTTGAGCACTTTCCTGAAAGTCCTGTCCTTTGTGTGTGGGGTAGGGGCAAGCTGCTGGAAGAGTCTGAAGCCGGGTCATAAGGCTGTTGGTGCCAAAAGTAGGATGAATTTTAGGCTGTTCCCAGGAGTCCTGTCTCGCCATGGGCCAGGGCCGCCTCTGAGAGGACCCTCGACCTCCTGTGCTCCAAGGCTACAAACCTTAAAGGGATTTTCAGGCCACGGTGGGAACTGTAACTCTTGCGGACCTGTTACTCTCTGTTCCTGTCTCCCCTCCACTCTCTCTTTGCTTCTCACATGTGGTTAGGCCTGCAAGTGTCTCGGGCAGAGACAGCTGCAGGGAGCAGAGCTGGCAGGCCTGGGTTGGAGCAGCTGTTGAGGTGCTAGGGCAGCTGGCAGGCTGCTGGGGCTCTTCTGGGTCTTGGATGGAGGAGGGCAGGGAGGAAGGTTCAGCCTGGAGCAGAGGGCTTCCTCTGCATCCCTGAGCCGAGGACTCAAGGGGCCCAGAGCTGTACTGTTCCCCTCAGAGAAGGTCTTGTTCTCCAGGTCTGGGGTAGGGGTGACAGTTGGGAGCAAAATAACTTTGGCCCCTGGCCCCCTCTAGGAGTCCTATGCCAACGTGAAGCAGTGGCTGCAGGAGATTGACCGCTACGCCAGTGAGAACGTTAATAAGCTCCTGGTGGGCAACAAGAGCGACCTCACCACCAAGAAGGTGGTGGACAACACCACAGCCAAGGTAGCAGATGGGCTGGTCTGCCTGGGCTGGGGGCGCTGGGGCCTCCTGCCCCTCACCCTGCTCTCCCCTCCTCTTCTCTCCTCTCCCTTGTCAGGAGTTTGCGGACTCTCTGGGCATCCCCTTCTTGGAGACAAGTGCCAAGAACGCCACCAATGTCGAGCAGGCGTTCATGACCATGGCTGCCGAGATAAAAAAGCGGATGGGGCCCGGAGCAGCCTCCGGGGGCGAGCGGCCCAATCTCAAGATCGACAGCACCCCTGTAAAGCCGGCTGGCGGTGGCTGTTGCTAGGAGGGGCACATGGAGTGGGACAGGAGGGGGCACCTTCTCCAGATGATGTCCCTGGAGGGGGCAGGAGGTGCCTCCCTCTCCCTCTCCTGGGGCATTTGAGTCTGTGGCTTTGGGGTGTCCTGGGCTCCCCATCTCCCTCTGGCCCATCTGCCTGCTGCCCTGAGCCCCAGTTCTGTCAGAGTCCCTAAGGGAGGACACTCAGGACCTGTGGTCAGGCAGGGCAGGGGCCTGCTCTGCTGCTGCCTCTAGGTGACTTTCCAAGATGCCCCCCTACACACCTTTCTTTGGAACGAGGGCTCTTCTGTCGGTCTCCCTTCCACCCCCATGTATGCTGCACTGGGTTTCTCTCCTTCCCCTTCTTCCCGCTCTCCTTCTGCCCAAGAGCTGAGGTCTCCCCGGCCTCTACTGCCCTGGCCGCAGTCAGTGCCCAGGGCCAGGAGAGTGGCCAGGGGATCCAGGACCTGGGATCCAGGGCCCTGGGCTGGACCTCAGGACAGGCATGGAGACCACAGGGGCCCAGCAGCCCACCCTTTCTTCTCCCCACTGCCTCCTTTCCCCTCCCACACTCCCAGCTCGAGCCGTCCAGCTGCGGTGGGGTCTGAGTATATCTAGGACGGGTGGGTGGGTAGCCGCATTGGGCTTGTGTCTTGAGCCTGGAGGGAGTCTGCTCCTGCCGCCCTCTGCCCTTCCAGAGACAGACCCATGCGATGCCTGCCCAGTGTGCCCCTTTGTCCCCACGTCAGGCAGAGGCGGAAGGCCCACCGTGCCAGAGGCTGGGCACCAGCCTTAACCCTCTGCTAGCACCTCCTCCCCTTCCCTGAGGCAGCACATCTGGCTCACTCTCCCCTGGGTCTCTGGAGCCCACCAGGGAAGGCCCTCATCCCCTGCCCTACTTCTCTGGGGAATATGGGTTCCATCCGGGGTTGGGGGCCTCTCTGCTCATCCACTCTGCACCCAGGATCCTAGTCCCCTGCCCTCTGGCACAGCTGCTTCCTGCAGGAAAGCAAGTCTTTGGTCTCCCTGAGCAGCCATGTCCCTCGTGCTGTCTCTTGCCTGTCCCACCTGTGCCCTGCCCTCCAGCTTGTATTTAAGTCCCTGGGCTGCCCCTTGGGGTGCCCCCCAGCTCCCAGGTTCCCCTCTGGTGTCATGTCAGGCATTTTGCAAGGAAAAGCCACTTGGGGAAAGATGGAAAAGGACAAAAAAATTAATAAATTTCCATTGGCCCTCGGGTGAGCTGAGGGTTTTTGCAAGGAAGTTGTGGTGGACAAGTGTGGTCTCTGGTCTAAGGCCAGCCTTGGGGTGGGGGGATGGAACTGGAACCATGGGCTTGATGGGGTGCACGGGGGTCCTGGCTTGGTTTCTGCATCTTAAGGCTGCTGGTGAAAGCCCTTGACCCCGTTTCCTGGGGCCAGGAAAGCTGCTTGTGCTTCTGTGGTCTGTCCCCAAGGGCCCAGCACCGTTCTGTCAGGGAGAGAGAGGGCGGCCATCGGCTCATACCTGGTGTGCCGCCGCCAACTCCCGCGGGGCACACGGCAGAGGTGTGGGGGTCGTGCAGCCTCTGAAAGTGCCCCCACTGCACCTGGTCCGACCTCCTTCGGCGCCCCCCAAAACCCCGCTGCCCCCATTCAGGCCATGTCCTCGCTTCGCTGTGTGTCCCAGCCAGGTGCTTCTGCCGCCTCCGACAGTGACAAGTGCCTCGCACTTCAGCCTCTGCCCTGCGCGCCCGCCCGAGGGGGCCGAGTGCGGCTGTGCCGGTGGCTGGAGTGCCTAGGGGTGCGGGGTGCTGAGGGGGACGGCCGCGGGCTCGTCGGGGCTGGGGGTGGCGCCCGAGCCGGGCGGGCAGACGAGGGGCGCGCGGAGACCCAGCCCCGCCCGAGGCCGCTCGCGCGGCGGCCCCGCCCCCGGCTCCGCCCCGCCGGCTTCGCGGGTTGGAGAGCGAGGGAGCCGCGGGCGAGGGATCGCAGGATGAGCGATCGCGGCCCGGGCAGCCAGCAGCGGACGCGCCCCCCGAGCCCACCGGCCCGCGCCCCGCGCCCCCCACGGCCCCGCGGTCCCGGTCCCGGCCGCATCGCCCACCTCCCCCGAGCCCCACGGGCCATGCCCGGCCGGCCCTAAGCGCGGGCCGGGGGGCGTCCCCTTGCGCCCGGGCCCCGCGCTGGCGCCCCCCGGGCCGCCGCCCGGCGCGGGGGCCATGGCGTTCACCTTCGCCGCGTTCTGCTACATGCTCACCCTGGTGCTGTGCGCCTCCCTCATCTTCTTTGTCATCTGGCACGTAAGGCCGGGCTGGGGCTGGGGGCGGGGTGGGGGGCAGGGGCCACACAGAGCTGGAGGGACCCAGGGCGGGTGGTCTCAGAGCCCCGGGGAAACTTGCTATCCCCCAGCAGTCGGCTTGTCGGCTTCGCCCCCATTAACACCCCCCATGGTCGGCTTTCTTCCCAGGGCCCCCCTTCCTTCGCCGCCCCCGCCTGTCTGTATGTCAGTCGGTCCCTGACCCCCTCCTCTGCCCCCGTCCTCTGCCCCATGCAGCCCGTGAGGTGGGGGGTGGAATTCTGGAATTTTTGCTCCTTTACCTTCTTCTACGTCCCCCGCCCCCCCACAACCATCCAGCCGCCTCCATTAGTCCGTCGGGCAGTTTGTCTGTCTGCTGCCCCCCCCACCCTTTGTGGGTTTTTCCAGCCAGAGTGATGGAGCCGGTTGCTATGGCAACTGCATCTGTTTACAGGACCCACAGATCTCATAGCCCATTAACCCTTTGCCTTCCCAGCCCCCTCCCTGACCAAGCAGCACTTGGCTCTCATCAGCCCCCAGAGACCTAGCCCCCACCACCGGCTCACCTTGGGTTTCCCTACCCCTCCTGTTGGGAGCTTCCCAGCCCCTCAGGTTTCCTCTCCATTTTTCAGCTTCCCTCCTCTTCCTGCCCCCCTTCCCCTTTGTCTCACATGCCCCTTGGCCTGTCCCTCACCCTGGCCTAGCCTCACACCTGGTTCTTCAAAATGTCCATTCCTCATCCTACTTCCGACCCATCGCTTCCCCCAGGCTCCCTTCTCCTCCCCTCCCAGCCCCTCTCTTCCAGGGCCTCCTCTGCCTGGCTCCCTTCCCCTCACTACAAAACTATCAATCAGCCTCCAGCTGGTTGTTGGGGGCCCCTGGCCCCACTTTACTGCCCTCCCTCCCCACCCCCACCCAAACCCCGTGCCTGTCTCTGTAACAGCCTGCCCAGCTTGGCCCTGGTCGGCTCAGCTCAGCATTCTCTGCCCACACCTCCCGCGCACACCTCCCTGATTGTCATTCCCTTTCGGGGGTCCTCTTACCCCTCCCTCAATCCCATTTCCCATAACCCTTCCCTCCTTCCTCCTAGTGCCTCACCTGCTTCTTTCCCGGGCTCCCCACTTCCTCTCTCCTTTCTCTTCCTGGGACCTGCTGCCTGCTCCATGGTTCCCCCTGCGCTCCCTTTGCCATCCCCTGCCACCTTGCTCTTTGCCATCAGGATTCCATAGACTGACTGAACCTATACTGTGTGAGGAGTGAGCCCCCACAGGCACCTCAGCACACACTCCAGCTCCAGCCCTGTCACTCCCTGGCCTGGCTCTGCTGTCTCCCTGGGTCTTGGTTGCTTTGTCTTTCCCCCCCTCCCCCCCTACCCCGAGTTACTCTATTTTTATTTCTGTGAGGTAGGGGCAGGAGGGCTAGGGTTCTAAGGGCTGAAGGGAGCTGGAGGCCACAGGCTGGGGAATGCAGAGCTGACCAGCTCCTAGGAGAAGGGCTTCTGGAATTCAGGATGCCCCTTTTTGGGGCCTTCCCCACCCACGGCTTTCCCACAGGCCCTGTGGGGTCCCTGTCCTCAGGGGATTCTCAGCAGTTTTCCATCCACCACACCTGCATTGATGCTTCCCAAAGATCAGGCTCTGGGTGGCTTTGAGGGGGTCAAGGATGAATAAAACCAGACTTTGCCCTTGTGGAGTGCCCAGGCTGGGAGGAAAGGCCCAAGCTTTGAAGAAATGTCTTTGTTCATTCAACAGATATTGATTGAGCACCTATGTGAGGTACTGTGTCCACTCAGCCATTTAACTGGATGATCTTATCTAGTCATTTGTCGCGAGTCTGGTTCCTCACTGGCGAAGTGGACCTGTGCACATCAGAGTGCCTAGTGCGGCCTGCTGGGTGGTAGGGGATAGGAGGTGTGGTCCTCAGTCCACAGCTGCTAAGAACTAGACTCTTAACAGGGCAGGACCCCAGATCCCACTCCAGACCCTTAGCCCAGGCCCCAGTGGTTCCTAGGCAACACTGGTGGTGAGTGATGCGTGTCAGCTGTCACCGTGGGGGATTGTTTGTTCCGGGGGGCTGAGTCAGCACCAGGCAGCCTGGGGGGTGGGAGGCGCGACGCCTGCCGCCTGCTGGTGATGCCAGCTCTGGGGCACAGACGGCACCCTTCTGCTCCCTGTGGACCCTGTTGCTGTGCGTGCCAAGCGGCGGCTGCCCAGTCAATGAGGAACTGGGTGGTGGGGGGGTGATCCAGATGGCCCCAGCTCCCTCCAGGAAGCCCATGTTCTTTCTCTCTGAGCCGTCTGGGTTCTGGGATGCCTGGGGGTGGTGGGCCTGCTGCCTCATCCTAGGGCTGGAGCTGATGGGAGGGGATCCCAGCAGGCTCCTCTGCCAGCCCATTTCCCCCAAGTCACCTGTCAGCTCCTCCCAGGCCCATCCCATCATCCCCTCAAACACTTGCTCCCCTAGAGAGTTTCCACCCATGAGGACACTGCCATCTGCCAGACACCCTAACACCTGAAGACACCTTAGACTTCTGCCTTCACTTCTTGGCCCTTTGAACCCTCTGGAGTCTGGCTCCTAAAGAGCTGTAGAATCGCATACACGCCTTCCATCTCCACTACAACTCTCCTCACTCAGACCACCATCAGCCCTGCCCCTAACCCTCCAAACTGTCCCCTTGCTGGTCTGGCCTGAGTATGACACAGTGGTTAGGAATTTTAACTCTGGAGTCACACTGGGTTAGAATCCACTAACCAGCTGTGTGACCCTGGACAAGTCACTTAACCTGTCTCAGCCTCCTCATCTGCAAAATAGACATGAAAATAAAACTAGTACCTAAATCATTAGGTTGTAAGCATTAAATGAATTAATCCACATACCTGCCAGCAGGAGCACCACTTAGATCTCAGCTGTGACTGTCAGTGAGCTCGAATTTCCTGCCCCACCAATCCTGAGACATGGACCAATCCTGAGACATGGGCCTGACCACCCCAATCTGCTGCTGTGTACTCTTCCATGCCTCCCCACAATGTTTTTGTGTTAGAGTCCAACCTCCTGCTCCAGCCTCACAGGTTGTCCATGTCTGGCTCTGCTGAACTCTCCAGCTCCTCTTCCACCACTCCCTCTTTTCTTCCTGCTCGCCGCTCTGTCATGCCAGCCCCATGAAACCTGCAGCCTCCTGAATGTCTCCTGACCTTTCACCCCTCTGCCATTGCACTTTCTGCTTGAACTGCATTTCCCCCATTTGCTCACCAACACCTACTCCGAGTCGAGCCTGAACTCCCTCACCCTCCACACAGGGTTAAGCACTCACTCCAGGTCCTGTACCTTAAACCCTGATCACCTGGAACGTAGAGTGATCATCCCTCTGGGCGTGGGTTCCTCCCGAGCAGAGGCTGCATCCCAGGCCTCTGGAGCCCCAGTGCTCAGCACAGGGCCTGAGACCTGGTAGGGCAGACACGAGGCCATGTCTTGGGATGTTTCGGAAGGAGGTGTAGTGGACATGGGCCTGAACTGGTCATCCAGACGCTAGGGTTCCCTTCTGGACTGTTGTGATGACCTTGGACCAGGCCCTGCCCCTCCCTGGGCCTCGGTTTCTCCACCTTTGCAACAAGCTCCACCTGGCTGGTCCTCTTCAGTAAACTCCTATCCCACAGAAGGACTTGGGGGGAAGGTCATAAACTGCTGCCCCAACCCTGACGGGCACACGCCCCTCCCCCAGATCATAGCCTTTGATGAGCTGCGGACCGACTTCAAGAACCCCATCGACCAGGGGAACCCTGCGCGGGCAGTAAGTGATACATGTGCTGTGCCGAGGTGTGTCTGTCCGTCTTTCCATCTGTCGCGGGCTGGGGGTGGGAGACGGGAAGACGGGGGTGGGGTGGGGGGCCTACGGCCATGCCCCCTTCCTCTCTGTCTCCGCCCCCAGCAAACACCTGGCGCGTGCTCAGGGCTGAGTTCCTCCTGGCGGGGCGGCGGTTGCCAGGCTCTGGGCCGTTGCCTTGGAGACGCGGGTGAAGGCCCTCCATGGTGACGGTCGCCATGGGGACGGCGCGGCTGCTTCCCGGCCGCGCCGACAGTGCCGCAGAGACCGCTCTGGCGCCCCCTGGCGGCCACATGCGGGGCGGTGGGAGCTGCTCCAGTATCTGCTTCTCCGCCTCCCCCATCGCGGCCTTTTGCTTCCCCCAACAGCGCGAGCGTTTAAAAAACATCGAACGCATCTGCTGCCTCCTGAGGAAGGTCAGTGTCAGGGCTGGGGGCAGGACGCTCCTAGCCCAGCGCTGCCCCCACTGTCTGTGGCCCAGAACCAGGCCGTCCCCCGCTTTGGGCCTGTTTGATCCACTCTGCTACTTGGGAGGGAGTGGGAAGCCAGAGGCCTTTTAATCTCCAGAGGTCACGGTGGGTGGGCACCTTCCAAACCCCAGCTCCTCTCTGTGCCCTTGAAGCCTGGGTCTGTCATAGCACCAGGCCGCTGACCTCTCACCCTCACTCCCCCAGCTGGTGGTCCCAGAATACTCCATCCACGGCCTCTTCTGTCTGATGTTTCTGTGTGCAGCAGAGTGGGTGACCCTGGGCCTCAACATCCCCCTCCTCTTCTACCACCTCTGGAGGTGAGGGGAGCAGCTGCCTTGGGGAGGCTGAGATGGGGAACAGGGGCAGGATGGGGGTGGGAGCCCTGATGGCAGACACTCAAGCCCCTGTCTGCCCCAGGTACTTCCACCGTCCTGCAGATGGCTCTGAGGTCATGTATGATGCGGTCTCCATCATGAATGCTGACATTCTCAACTACTGCCAGAAGGAGTCCTGGTGCAAACTTGCCTTCTACCTGCTCTCCTTCTTCTATTACCTGTACAGGTGAGGCCTTGCCCACAGCAGTCAGAACTCAGGGAAGGGATGTCCCAGCATCACACTTCCAATGCCCTTTGCCCTTGAGGACTGAGGGCAGCCCAGGGTGTGGCCAGGTGGGTAGCTGGGTGGCTGTGTGTGTGCAGGGCTAGGCTCACTGGCTCATCTTCCCACAGTATGGTTTATACGTTGGTGAGTTTCTAAGGGGGAAGCCGGCCAGGGAGTGAGCCCAGAACAGACCGGACGCCTGTGCACCCCCAGCCCTGCCCCTTGGCCGCAGAGGCCTCAGCCCTGGGGGGGGAGGGGGCACTGGTGCCCCCAGCCTCTCCAACCCCCAAACTGCTGCTGCGGGGACCCCCCCCCACCTTCAGAGCCCTCCCCCTTGGACTAGAGCGGCTGGGCAGAGCTCTAAACAGGGGCAGGGGCTCCTCTGCCAGCCTGTGGGCATGGCAGTCAGTCCTGGAAAGGGCAGGACCTCCGGCCTTGTCCATTTCGGGGGAAACTTGGGCCCTGCCAAGGGGCAAAGCTTGACCCTGGAAATTCTGGGCCACCCCCCTCCACCCCACCCTGAGGCTCCCCCTGCAGGTGGGGGGGTACCCACACCGGGAATGAGCAGGCTCAGCAGGGGGGCAGCCCCACCCCTAGTCTGCCCTCCCCTCTCCCCCAGGCTCTTTCTCCAGCCCTGTCTCCATCTGCCCCAACCTCAGCCCACCTTGTCTCTTGGACCTATTTTCTATGTCGCCTGGAGGAGTCCGGCACCCCCTCCCCGGCCATTTGTGACAAAATATGAATAAACTACTGCAAATATGTGGGCCCCGGTTCTGCTCCTGGAAAGCTTGAAGAGGAGATGGGGGCCAATTACAGGGACTGTATAGGGGGCAGCCCTAAGCTGAATCCCCAGCCTGGCTTATCTTACCCCACTAGCCCACAGACCCTGCTGGAGCCCCCTAGAGGGATCAGAGGCCTTCCAGTTCCCCTCAGCAGCCTCCTTCCATCTTCTCTTTCCCAGCTGAGGCTGCTGAAACCCTTACAAGGCAATATCAAGGCCACCAAAGTCATGAAGCCCTCCCTGGGCCCACCTTCTTCCTAGACAGCTCCAAGCCCAGTCCCCTGGGCAATGGAGAGGCCCAGAGGTATCCGTAGCTCCCCATCAGGCCCCAGGAACAAAGGTCAGACAAAGTCAAGGAAATCAAATCTTCAATGAATGAAAAACTCAGTGCCATCTGGGGCCAGGGGGTCACCGGACCAGGTGGAAAGTCAGCCAGTATATGATGAGGGGCTGGAAGGCTGCAGCTCCCAGAGTCAGGTACAGCTGGAGACGCTGCCGGGGGACGGGGCCCCCCATGCTGTCAGGGCCCAGGGCTGCTGTCCGAAAAGAGCGCACCTGGAAGAAAGGAAAGCTGAAGGCTGGCCAGGAGGGGGAGGTTTGCCCTCAAGTGAAGGCAGGGGAATGGGGGGGCACACCAGACTCACAATGAAGTACATGAGCGCCGATGAGGTCCAGGCCAGCGCCACGTAGTAGCCATCGCTGCCAAACAGCAGCCCCGTAAGCACACTGAGGATCATTCTGGGGGTGGGAGGAGGAAAGGGTTGGTGACCCCTAGGGGTCTAGGCCTGAGATTGGCCCTACCCCCAATGCCCAGAGCCCAGCTAGACCCCACGTCCCACAGCGCCTTTTACTCTCAATCTGTCCCCACAGGGACCCAGACCCCAAAGGGATATGGAAGGCTCAGGACTCAGCCCCAGGACCCGGATCTGAGATCCCCTTCTCTCCCCAAGACTCTGGCAGAGTGACTCTCAACACCTCCCCAACCTCTGCATGGCACCCAGGTCCTCAGGAGACTGCTGGAGACAGCTCCTCCCTCTTAACAGAGCAGTGCTTGAGGTCACTGGGGGCCAAGACATGTCCAGGGTCACAGTTCGAGGCTACAGCTATGCAGGCCCAGACCCAAGGCCACCCCTCTGGCCCACAGGTGCTCACCCCACGTATTTGTAGCCACTGTAGGCCAGCAGGTGGAAGGTGCTCAGGTCGCTGCGCACGGTGGCCAGGTAGAGGCCCAGGAGCAGGGCTAGCACCTCCATCACCACCCACACCAGCGCCGTGCTTGCACACAGGCCCAGCACCTCCGGGGAGAACCTGTGCCAAAACAGGGGCGGCTCAGAGCCAGGCATCCTGAGGCAGGGGTGAGGATGAGAGACTGGGGCAACAGAGGGTGAGCTGGGGACCACCACATATGCCCTAGGGAGGTTGGGAGAAGAGCTCACAGGAAGGGGAGGGTAAGGGAGGGGTTTGGCACTGACCTTTTCTGAATGCCCAGTGCCATCCCAGCCAGGAGCACGTAAGTAATGAAGGCCATCGCTGCCAAGTGCCAGAGAGATGCCATCAGCTTGGCTTCCTCAATCAGAGCTGCCTTCCTAGGCATTTGGGGTCACTGACATGCCCCATACTTCCTTCTCTGCATAGCCCAGCATGGCCTGACCTCCACATTCTGCTCCCAAATGCCCTGCCTGGGATGCCTGTCTCCAATCAGCCCTCTCCCACTGTGTAAATGCCACCTGACCCTTCTTCCAGGACCACAAGCCACCTTTCCTACCTCTGTGCTGGGAAGCTCATCAGTTTTCTGCTGCATCTCAGAAACTATATCATGGGCCAAGGCCATTGTTCTGCCTAGACAGGGACCAAACTGGTTTCTGGCAAGACCAGAATGCAGGTTCAGTGGATACCCATTCTCTCCCTAGAGTCTGGGGCCATGGAGATGACCTCACCTCAGTCAGCAATTCTGAGTCTCGGCACTGGTAGGGCTCTGGCTGCCCAACAATGCAGGAAACTCCAAGTTTAACTTTGGGTAGTGTTCATAAAAGCTCAGAGCCAGTGGGAGCTGGGCATTAGCAGCAGTTTTAAACTCTGTCTTCTGCCTCGCTTAAAGCACTAGAACTGGCAGGGTGCTGTTGCTCATGCCTGTAATCCCAGCACTTGGGGAGGACAAGGCAGGCAGATCACTTGGGCCCAGGAGTTCAAGACCAGCCTGGGCAACATAGCAAAACCCTGTCTCTACTAAAAATACAAAAATTAGCTGGGCATGGTGGCGGGCGCCTATAGCCTGCAGTCCCAGCTACTTAGGAGACTGAGGCAGGAGGATCACTGCCTGAGCGTGAGAGGCAGAGGTTGCAGCGAGCCAAGATCACACCACTGTACTCCAGACTGGGTGACAGAGTGAGACCTCGTCTCAAAAGGAAAAAAAAAAAGCACTGACATGACCACCAGTGGGGAGTGTCTGGAGTTCTGGAGTCAGGAAATCAGCTGTACCACCCGTCAACTCTAAGGCCTCAAAAATACTGAAGCTCCTCTGAAGCTTGGCTTCAACAAGTAAAATGGGGATGCCAGTTCCAGCCTTACACGGTGGCTATGATGGGCACACGGGATGAAGGATGGAGGAACCCCTGTGCTGCCCAGCACACCTAGGCTGGCTGCCTGCCCTCAGTCCCACTGGCTGCCCTCAGTCCCACTGGCTGCCCTCACTGGAAGCTCATCTGTGGGCTGGTCACTGCACTTACTCACCCTGGGTGTCCATGATGGGTCTGGCCCTATGCAGCCAACAGGATAGAGTCAGCTGCACACGTGGGCAGCCTGAAAAATGCCATGTGGACAGGCAGTTGTGGGAACCCAGAAGGGAGCCACCACTTGCTCAGGGGCTCAGGAAAGGCTTCTTGGAAGAAAGGATAACAGCACGCCTTGGAGGACAAGTAATAACGACGATAACAGCTAATGTTTCCTACGTCCTTCCTGTGTGCCAGGTGAGGTGCTGAGCAAACATCACCTTGCTGAATCTCTCCAGCAGTCCTTTGGGGTAGGGACTATATTGGTCCTGTTTTACTGAAAAGTACAAATAACCAGCCTAAAGTCCCACAGCTGGAATCTGCAAAGCCAGGTCTAAACCCAGAGCTCCAGGCTGGGGAGGGATATAGTCCAAATCAAGAGACAGGAAGGTCTCAAAAGGGTGTCCTGGGGACACTGAAGGCGCATTTAGGAAGCTCCTTACTGGTAACCCTGCACTGCCTGCCTGGTGTCTTGCAACTGCCATACATACACAAAGCACCAAGAACAGATGCTGACTCAGTAGCTGAGCCTCTCTTCCCATTCATCCCTCAAGACACAAGTCCCCCCCCCCCCCCGACCCCACCCCACCATGTTCCCCAGCCCAGGTCGGAGACTCACTGGGGATATAGAGGTCAGGGGCGTTGAGGTCTTGCCGAGGGGGCAGAGGAACATCGCGACTGTACTGCACTTCCCAGTTCTGGCAGTGGCAGCAACGGCCACATCAGGAGGGGAAGAGAAAAAAGAGGAGAGAAGGGGGTTGAGGTCTGGGCGCCAGACTCCGGAACAATGAGGAAGGCCCACCAGCTCCCTTGATAGGAAGCTCACCTGGTGTGTGTAGGGGAAGACCAGCAGCCCTAGCTTCTTGGCCACGTAGGCTGTGTCCACAGCAAAAAAATACTTGAGTTTGTTCACAGACACAAAACGGTGCAGCTGGGAGGGGAGAAAGGAGGCTGTGGGCAAGCCGCACTCCAGGCCTCAAGAGTGCCCCTCCGTGTTCTCCATCCCTGAGGACACTGTGAGGAATCGGGTGGAATCCCATGATGTCCCAGCCCTCGCCAAAAATTCTGCCACCCGTGCCCTGGGGGCAGGCCACACCTCCTTGTGCACCATGTCCTTCCCATGGGATGCGATGGAGCTGCCATAGGCCATAGCCACATTGGCCATTGGGTCCCCAAGCAAGTGGTTGACACTGAAGGCCACATCTGCTCCTGGGGCTGGATATCCCCCGGGCTGGCTGGAATAACCACCGCTTGTGTCATCGAAGAGGGGAGGGGGATCCGGGGCTGCCCGGGCCCTGTGCTTGGAGCCTGTGGGTTTGGAGGTATCAGAGTAGATGACAGAAATACCAAGCATGAGCCCAAGCCACCGCCCCTTCCCTGGCTGGACAGCCCTGCACGGGTCCTGCAGGCACCGATCAGTGAGGAGACCCCAAGCTGGGTGAGGGGGAGCTAACTGAGAAAAAACTTTGGTGAGGGATCCTTTGCGAGAAATCCGTTGCAAAATGTAGGCAAAGGAAGAGCTGAGGCAGCGCCTAGAAGTGGTTGCCCACTTGGGGTTTCTGAAGGCCTCTCATTGGAAGTGACCTCTGAACTGAGCCATAGTCAGTAGAAGTTTGCTAGGTGCAGATAACTGGGAGGACATCCTTGTGTGAACAAACCGGGGAGAGGCGACAGCTGGCTACCCGGAGGCCCTGGACAGTGCTCAGGGACCTCACCAGGCTCACAAGAGTGAAAGGAGTTTCTGGAGGCGGACCCCGTTTTTGCCCGACTCCGCCGTGGGACTCCCAGCTGTGCTACCACCGCCCGGTCTCACGACTGGGCCGAGAGAGCGAAGTCCGGGACGCGTTGCAGTGTTGCGAGGGGCAGGAACCCGAGTGACACCCCCGCCCTGGGCAGCGGTCCCAGTCGCTATCTCCCTCGGGGTGAGCGGGCCGCGCCGCCGACTCTCCCCCCGCCGGCCGCGCCGCGCCGCGCCGCGCCCCGCCAGCGCCCCACGCACCGTGGGCTCCGTAGCCCGAGTGATAAGCCATGGCTGCGACGCTCTCTCTCCCCGAGGGCCCGCTGCGCCGCCTCGTGGGTACGAATACTAATAAAGCAGCTGCTCCGCGCCCAAAGTACCGACCGAGGCCACCCGGCCGCGCGACACGTCCCCCACCCCGCCGGTCTCGGCCACCATGTCCGCGGCGTCATCCCCCGCGCCTGCCATTGGCTCTTCGGCGTCGCCGGCTCGCCCCACCCCTCTCCCAATTGGCCACTGACTGGCTCTAGCCTGAGCGGATTCGGCAGAAGGCAACATCCGGGTGAGGGACAGGAGGAGCAACTTGTGGTGCCTAGGATTGGATCACGGGCTTGCCAGTTCACGGTGGGAACAGCCAATAGAAGAGTTAAGGAAGAAGGTGGGCGAGAATTATTCGCGCGCCTGCGCGGTGAGGCACTTGACGCAACCTGCCACGACTGCACCAGGGAGACTAGAGGGGACCTGCGGCCGGAGTCATGAACGAAGCTTCCTTGTTTCGACGTACTCCAGGAGGGAATGGGGCGGTCGAGCTCCAACCAAGCCCTGGCCTTCGGGGCGCCTGTTCCTCCCTCTCTGGGCTTGTTTTCCTCCCCCGTCACCTACACTTCACCCAATCCTGGAACGGAGCCCCAGCAGCCCCGGAGGTGGTGGTGGGAGGCCGCCACTGTCAGTGACTGAGCGGCCAATCAAGCCCCAGGATGCTGACTCCTCCTCCCGCCTCCCACTCCTCTTCTCCGCGCGGGTGCTGTCCGTCGTCCGGTGCTGAAAATGCCCTCCCGCCTCTGCCGCCATCCTGTAGACTCCCGGGGACCTGCTGATGGGAAGATTTGTGGTCTTGAACCACACGCTCCTAGCGAGCGCGTGGCCGCACGCACACATACACGCATACTGCAAAACTGGGGCCCAGAGGATCCGAAGTCCCAGAGATTGGGTGGTATAGATGGGGCAGGATCCTGCCCAGGGCCTGTCCCAGAGACTCTCCCGTAGTCCAGCAGATCTGGGGGCAGAGGTGTGCTGATCTGCGTCCTGAAGCTGCAGCCGAAACTCCTGAGTCATCGCTGGGCCTGTGGTCTTCTCGAAGTGAGGCCCCCAAGCCTCACTTGTAGTCCCAGAGGTTCCTTTCTCTCCACCCAGGTTCTGATCACTTCCACCCCCATGGAGACAGTCTTCAGGGGCCTCCCTCTCACAGACCTTTAGCCACCGCTTTCTAGAGAGGACGACCTCTCTAATTAGCTACCAGGTGTCCACTTACACCAGATGACCTTCCTGCTCCCCAAACTCAGCCCACGTGGTCTGATTGCCCAGAGGTCCCCTCTACCTCGGATGCCCTTCCCCCTTATATCCACTTGTCCATAAGCCTAGTTATCTTTAAGAGTCAGTTCAGCTTGTGCCTCTCAGAGAGACAAAGGGAACAGAGACCTGACCTGGTCAGGGGTGGAGGTCATAGGCTGGGTTCTAGGCCCCCTCTGGGTGCACCCAATTTGCCCTGCATGTAAGTTCCATGAGGACAGGCCCTGTTGTCATTCTCCACTTCCACCCTTGCCTTCCCAGTGCCAAGCACAATACTTGCATATAGAAGACACCCAGTAAACATCTGTGTCCAACAAATATATAATAAATAGATAAAACCCTGGACCAGTCCTTTCCTCTGTCTACATCTCAGTTACCTAATCTTTAAGGGGGTAAGGATGTTTAATTGAATGGTCTTTGAGTTGCTCTTTGCCTGAACACACACACATACAAAATGAATTAACCCACCAGTATTGCAGCTTATTTTCTGCCCAGATTGTCTAGTTTTCGAGCAAAGCCAGACCCAGGCACAGATGTGAAGATCTGAGGCCCTGGAGGGCCAGGAAGTAGCACTGGGGCCACGTGAACCTGGGAGGGGTCATCTAATGCAAGCCAGTTCCCATGTCCCTGCAGGGCACGATGGATGCTTGTGAACTGAATCCAAAGCTTTTCTATGTATTTTCTTCCTTCCTTCCTTCCTTCCTTCCTTCTTTCCTTCCTTCCTTCCTTCTTTCTCCCTCCTCTCCTCCTCCTCCTTCTCCTCCTCCTCTCCTCCTTCTCCTCCTACTCCTCTCCTCCTCCTCCTCCTCCTCTGCCACCGCCGCTGCCGCCTTCTTCTTCCTCCTCCTCCTCCTCCTCCTCCTCCCCCTCCTCCTCCTCCTCCTCCTCCTCCTCCTTCTTCTTCTTCTTCTTCTTCTTCTTCTTCTTCTTCTTCTTCTTCTTCTTCTTCTTCTTCTTCTTCAAGACAGGGTCTTACTCTGTCACACAGGCTGAAGCACAGGGCATGAGAGATGCTTGTAAACTGAATCCAAAACCTTTCTATGTCTTTCTTTCTTTCTTTCTTTCTTTCTTTCTTTCTTTCTTTCTTTCTTTCTTTCTTTCCTTCCTTCCTTCCTTCCTTCCTTCCTTCCTTCCTTTCTTTCTTTCCTTCCTTCCTTCCTTCCTTCCTTCCTTCCTTCCTTCTCTTTCTTTTCTCTCTCTCTCTGTCGTAAATGCGTCTTCTTCTTCTTCTTCTTCTTCTTCTTCTTCTTCTTCACAGGGGTCTCACTTTGTCACACAGGCTGGAGCACTCTTCTTCTTCTTCTTCTTCTTCTTCTTCTTCACAGGGTCTCACTTTGTCACACAGGCTGGAGCACAGTGGTGCAAACACAGCTTACTGCAGCCTCTAACTCCCAGACTCAATTGATCCTCCTGTCTTAGCCTCCCGAGTAGCTGGGAATACAGGTGCCCACCACACCATCATGCCCAGCTCATTTTAAAATTTTTTGTATAGGCAGGGTTTCGCCATGTTTCCAAGGCTGCTGGAATCCCTGGGCTCCAGTGATCCTCCCACCTCGGTCTCCCAAAGTTCTGGGATTACAGGCATGAGCCACTCAGTCCGGCCTCTATCCCCATTTCTCAGATGGGAAAAATGAGGTTGGGAGCGGAGCATGCTGGCCCAAGGTCACGCAGCCTAGGGTCCCTGGTGTCCTTGCCCCAGCCTGCCTGTCCTAAGCTGAGTCCAGCACCCCTGCCCAGCCAGTGAAACTCATCACGCTTTTCTCAGCTGCAACTACCCTCTTCTCCAAGTGAGGCTTCAGGGATGGGATCTGGGTGGGCTTAACTCTGGGCCTACTCCTTAGAGATGGGACCCCGCGAGCGCCCACCCACCTTGGAGATTCTCCTTCCTCATTTTACAGCCCGGGAAGCTCAGGCGCCAGAGGGTTAGACCAGCTCAAGGTCGCGAGCGCAAGCGCGGCCGGAGGAGAATCCAGGGGTCCAGCCGCCCAGCGGGGGCTTCTTGGGGGCGGGCGGAGCGCCTGCCGTGCCAGGCGCTGCCGGCGGCGCCGCCGGTGCCGCGGGGGCGGGGTCAGCGGAGGGCGGGGCGCCGGGCACCCGGGCCGCCAACGCCGCCAACGCCTCCGCCGCCGCCGCCGCCGCCGCTGCCGCTGCGCTCAGGCTCGAGCTCCGCGCACTCCCTCCGCGGCCGCTGAGCCGAGCGGACGCCCCTGGGGGCCGCGCCGCAGCCCTCTGTGCTCCGCCCTATCATGCCCGGTGCCCGGGCTGGGGCCGCCCAAGCAGCCAGGACACCATGCCCGAGGACGGCGCTGGCGACGGCGGGGAGGTGCCCGCGCTCATCCCGGACGGCGAGCCGCTGCGGGAAGAGGTACTGGCGCTGGGGGGCCGGAGCCGGGCCTGGGGCGGCGTGAAAGGGACCAGTGCAGAAGGCGACCCCAAGAGAGGGGCTGAGGAGGGAAGTCCCAGAGCCCCTACGGCTAATGACGTCATTGGGGTCACCTGCCGCCCTGCCAGGGGTCCAGGGACCCGCGTTGGGGGTAGGGGTGGGGCGGCTGGACAGCAATATGGGGGGCGACTTCCGCCCCCAGCGCCCCCTCATCCAGCCTCGCCCGTCCTGTGACGTCAGCGCCTGGCCCCCACGCGTCCCAGTGCCGCAGCCCAGCGGGGGATACTGCTTCCACCGCCAGGGCCGCGGGGTCAGGCCCCCAGCCCGGCCCAGCCGCTCACGAGGTGTCCGGGCAGTGCCTGCAATGCAGCAGCAGTCGCAAAGCCTAGAGGGGAGGAGGGGAAGAGGAAGGGAGGCGCCTGGGTACCCCTTCTCCTTGTCCCCGAGGTGAGGATTGAGGGCCCATTCTGCTGACTGGGACCCCAGATGGCCCCTCCTCAGCCCTAGCCAGTAAGGTCTGCAGGACCTGGGGCCCCGAGTGATGTGTGGGGTGATAGGGTGGTGAGTGGAGCTGTGTGTGCATTTGGGTGAATGTAGCCTGCTTGTGTGTGTGTGTTGTGTGGGTGTGTGAATTGGGGGTGTGTGTACCCTGTAGTCAGGTGAGGGGTGAGTGGGTGCCTGGCTCGGGTGGTCACTCAGTGGTCTAGGTGTGTGCATGTGAGCGAGTCCCGTTGTGGGTGGGTCTCTCCCTGTGGGGTCTGAGGAGCCTAGGTGTCAGGTTGCATTGGGGGTGGGGAGATGTGCACTGTGGTCAGGTGAAGGTCTGCTATGTCTCTGGGCTTCACTGCATGTGGAACGTGTATGTGCATGTGTGTGTCCTGTGGTGGATGGGTCTGTGGTGCGTGTGTGTGTGCTATGTGTGTGTACCATGCTATGGTTGTGGGAGTCTGTGCTCTGGGGACAGGTGAGGGTCTGGAGTTTCCTGGTGACAGGCAGTGTGGCCCTCCATGGTAGGTGGGTCTGTGATGAGCATGTGTTGGAGGGGCGTGGACAAGTGTGTGTGTACCTGACAGGCTTGGCAGGTCAGGTGGCGCTGTGCTCCTATGCTGTGTGACGGGGACAGGCTGTATCTGGGCTGGGCTGGGGGATGGTTCCTCTCCTCTTGGGCCTCTAGAGGCCTGGTAGGTCTGGGGTAGGAGAGGTGACCCCTTAACCCCTCTTTTGTTGTTTCTACCTTTTCCACCCCTTTTTACCCTTCCACTCTCCCCACTGTATACCTACCTGCTTCTCTCTCCATGGGCACCTGGGGGTGAGGTAGCTAGGCTGGCAGCCCTGCCAGGGAGGGTGTGGCAAGCCCTCTGAGCCAGGGAGTGGCCCCTGCTGCCCAGCAGCTGTGTCCCGCCCCCTCGCTCAGCACAGATGAGTGGAGGATGGCCCTATATCTGCTCCCCACCCCAAGACTCGCACCTCCTCCGTTCTAGATGCTCCCATTGACTCAAAAGCCTCTGCTGAGTCTTCTAAGTCCCTATGGAACAAGGAACCAGAGGGGGTCTCAGGGTAATGGTGATCATATTTATTCCCATGGCCAGACACTGTGCTCAGATCTTCACACGTATGATCTTGTTAAATCCTCACAACAGACTCAGTTTACAGATGAGGAAATTAAGGTCCAGAGAGGATGAGAGATGTGCCCAAGTCATACAGTAAGTGCTGGAGCCAGCACTGGCTTCTGGGCAGTGAAACTCCAAAGCCTATGCTGTTTACACCTCGGACCCCTTCCACCCTGCTTCCCAGACCAACAGGACCAAGAATCAAGGCCCAGAGAGGGCAGAGATATAGCCAAGTCCACACAGCAAATCAGGGCAGAGCAAGGGCTAGAACTCAGTTTTCTCAATAGCCAGTGCAAGGATCCACCCCTTCTGGCAGAGGCGGGCCTGCTGTGTCCTGTGTACAGTTGGCCCAGTGCTAGCAGGGCACAGTGGAGGATGGATTTGGGGCAGCGAGTCCTGGGTTTGAATCTGCAGCGCCACTGTGAGTGAGCTGGAAATTGAAGCCTGGAGCAAGCTGCTCATCCCTCTGAGCCTCAGTTTCCTCCTCTGTAAAATGGGGCTCACGGTATCACCTCCCTCAGCTGGGTTAAGCAAAGTGGCAGGCCCCACTGATGGCCCCACCTGACACAGACTTCCCTTTCTCTGCCCACCTGCAGCAGCGGCCCCTGAAACAGTCCCTGGGAAGCTCCCTGTGCCGCGAGTCGCACTGGAAGTGCCTGCTCCTCACTCTGCTCATCCACGCCTGCGGGGCCGTGGTGGCCTGGTGTCGCCTGGCCACAGTGCCGCGGCTGGTCCTGGGGCCCGAGGCTGCCTTGGCCCGGGGAGCCGGTGGCCCGCCACCCACCTACCCGGCCAGCCCCTGCTCCGATGGCTACCTGTACATCCCGCTGGCCTTCGTCTCCCTGCTCTACCTCCTCTACTTGGCCGAGTGCTGGCACTGTCACGTGCGGTCCTGCCAGGCGCCACGCACCGACGCCCACACGGTGCTGGCGCTGATCCGCCGGCTGCAGCAGGCGCCGCCGTGCGTCTGGTGGAAGGCCACCAGCTACCACTACGTGCGGCGCACCCGCCAGATCACACGCTACCGCAACGGCGACGCCTACACCACCACGCAGGTGTACCATGAGCGCGCCGACAGCCGCACGGCCCGCGGCGAGTTTGACTACTCGGCTCACGGCGTCCGTGACGTCTCCAAGGAGCTGGTGGGGCTGGCGGAGCACGCGGCCACGCGGCTGCGCTTCACCAAGTGCTTCAGCTTCGGCAGCGCGGAGGCCGAGGCCTCGTACCTCACGCAGCGGGCGCGCTTCTTCAGCGCCAACGAGGGCCTGGACGACTACCTGGAGGCGCGCGAGGGCATGCACCTGAAGGACGTGGACTTCCGCGAGTCGCTCATGGTCTTCGCCGACCCCCGCAGCCCGCCCTGGTACGCTCGCGCCTGGGTCTTCTGGCTCGTGTCGGCGGCCACGCTGTCGTGGCCCCTGCGCGTCGTGGCCGCCTATGGAACAGCCCACGTGCACTACCAGGTGGAGAAGCTCTTCGGCGCCAGCTCGCCCCCGCCCGGGGCCGTGCCCAGCGGGCCCCCGCTGTCCCGCGTGGCCACAGTGGACTTCACTGAGCTCGAGTGGCACATCTGCTCCAACCGGCAGTTGGTGCCCAGCTACTCGGAGGCCGTGGTCATGGGCGCGGGCTCGGGCGCCTACCTCAGAGGCTGCCAGCGCTGCCGTCGCTCCGTCAGCAGCAACTCGCTGCCCCCCGCCCGGCCCAGCGGGCCCCGTCTGCCCTTCAGCCGCAGCCGCCTCTCACTGGGCGCTGGGGGCCGGGCCACGCCAGGGGTCTTCCGCAGCCTGAGCGGGGGGCCCCTGGGGCGCCGTGGAGAGGACACAGAACCCCTCGAGAGCCCGCCCTGCTATGAGGACGCCCTCTACTTCCCGGTGCTCATTGTCCACGGAGACAGCGGCTGCCAGGGGGATGGGCAGGGTGCGCTCTGAGACCCCCACAGCCCCCAGAGTAGCCCCCTCCCCACCATTCCACCATGGGCTTAGATGCCCGGGTGATCGTCGTCCAAAACAGGCGGGAAAACAGACCAGCCACACACAAGGGGCAAGGGTGAGGGTGGGGGTGGGGGTCCTCAAACAGACTAAAATGCAGTGACCCGTGGTCATTTTGGAGGAAACGGAGGCCACCTAAGTGGAGCCTAAGAATCGCCCCCAGCATAGCTTCACCCCCCAAGATGGCCAATGATCTGGCCTGGAGGCCTCTCACAAAGGGCAGGAGAAGAAGCTTCCAGAAAGGCTGGGATGGAGGAGGAGTCCTGCAGCCAGCTGTTGCCTGCAGCAAAGGCTGCCTGTGGACACTTCCCTGCCGGGGCTGAGGCCATGCTGGGAGCTTCCCAGCGACGCAGAAGCACAAATTGGCAGGTTGGGGCCATGCCCAGCCAGGTTGGTTTCCCTGGGGCTGAAGAGCTGGCTGTGGTGGCACCATGGCCTTGGCCCTGCTACTCACCCAACATTCCCATCCTCCCCTGATAGGCCCCTCCGTGCCTGCCCTTTCGCCCGCTGCTCAGGGCCAGTCACTGATTGGACCTAGCAGTACTGTTCCTCCACTGGGAGCCTGGTTCTTGGAGTACAGCCTTGCCCCATGCACCTGTACTGTTTCGCCTGGTGTCCACTGCGCCCTCCTCCCACATTCAGCTACCCGTACAACCTGGGGTTCCTTCTCAGGGCCTCATCTGGTCCCCACATCCCCTGGCCTCTGCTCCTGCCTCTCAAAGTCCATGTCTGCCTCCATCAGTCACACACACCCAGGGACGCCCTCTCCTTGCCCTCCGGGACTTATCTACTCTTCACTTTCCTGATGATCCGTGGGGCCCAGACCTAGAGGGCATCCGAGGGGCCCGGCCTCGCCCACAGCCTGTTGGATGATGTCCTTGCTCCACCATGCAGGCCCTTGCTTCTCCCATCAATGAGTCCTGGCCCACGGGACACTGACCCTCCCCCAGGGAGGAGAGAGGAGTTCCTTCCCTTTCAACGAAGGCTTCCACACCCTCTCAAGGGTGGTGGGGAAGGGAGGACGCTGAGAAGATGCAGATTAAATAAAGGTATGGAATGGAAGGCCTGTGCATTCCTGGGTCTTGGGTCCGAGGCCACCGCTGCAAGCATTATGGGCCTCCGTGGTTCAGGGCACGATGAGGGGTTCTGGGAAGGGACTCAGAGTTGGGCTTCAGTGTTCCCAGGAACAAAGTAAGCGGAGGAGAGGAAACCTCCCCTGCCTAGCCTGGGGCCTCTGAGACTCAAGTGTGAGTCGTTCTGAGCACCTGGCTCCCCTGAATCTGGTATCTGGGCCTGGGTCACTGCTAAGGCATTGCCAAGGTGGCCCTTCTTCCAGCTCAGTGGGGGATTCCATTCTGTTGCTGGGCATGCTGAGGGCTAAGAGAGTGGTGGCTTGTCCCCAAAGTGGGGAGAAAGAGTTCGGTGCCCCCCAGCAGCTACTGACATTATCAATCTGAGGGAAAGGGCACGAAGCAGGTTGAAGGACACAAAGCTGGAAAGGACAGCCCCAAACCAGGGCAGGCTGGCATGGAATCCAAAGGCAGAGAAAACATCAGGGAAAAGGAAGGTCCTGACTCCCTGATGGAGCTCTGAAAGACTCCTGGACATGGCATTGTCACATGTGCAGCAGTAAAGAGGGTTCACTGGGCAAGGGCAGTGGGCTAAGGGGCAAGTGTGCATGGAATCCAGCCTACAGGCCACTCCCCAAACTCTGGCATGGAGCTACATCCACTTGGAGAAAGGGGACCCTTTTCCCATTCACGCAAAGGTGGCATAACAGCTAGTGGTGACCCTGGAAGGATGCGGAGAATGGGTGGATTTCCCTAAACAAAGACAGGGCAGGCAGTGCCTTAGACAGCGGATGCTGCCCAAAGGCCTGGCTGCCGGGCATGAGCTGAGGTGTGACGAGGAGATAGAAGCAAGAAACCATGGAAGGCTTTGCTGTAGCTTCCATGCCAAACCCTAGAATGTGTCCGTACACTGGAGCAAACTGGGCAATCTGCAACCATGGAAGGGGGATGGGCAGGGACGTGATACAGTCAAGGCTGCATTTTAGGATATTTAGCAAAAGTCCAGCTACCTGCTGGCTCTGTGAGGAGGGTGGAGTGAAAGACCAGAGCTCTCCCTGTGTGTTAACCGACAGCTTCTCTTCTTTGGGAGTGAAATCAATTCCTCATTCAGAAGCAAATTAGGTGGAAAACCCTATGGTGCCCAAACATTCAGGAAGGCTACAGTGGGTGGCTGGGCACAGTGACTCATGCCTGTCATTCCAGCATTTTGGGAGGCTGGGGCAGGCAGATCATTTGAGGTCAGCAGTTCAAGACCTGCCTGGCCAACATGGTGAGACCTCCCTGTCTCTACAAAAAATACAAAAATTAGCTGGGCATGGTGGCAGGGACCTGTGACAGCTACTCAGGAGGCTGAGGCAGGAGAATCGCTTGAACCCAAAAGCCAGAGGTTGCAGTGAGCTGAAATTGTGCCCCTACACTCCACCTGAGACTCTCTCTCAAAAAAATAAATAAATAAATAAATAAATAAATAAATAAATAAATAAAAAGGCTCCAGCGGGTAGGGAGGCCAGCATGCTGGTTCCAGCTCCTTGCCATGAGAAAGACCCTTTTTCCACCATTCTGCTCTAACACCATAGCCAACAACTGCCCACTGCCCACTATCCATTCATTGTCCTCCCTTCCCCGATGACAGAACCCCAGTTTTGCTGCAGATGGCAATGTGCCCAGCTAAAAGGCAATATTTCCAGCCTCCCTGGCATATATGGTATGACTGTGTGGCTGAATTATAGGATATTAGATATAAACAGAAGGTGCTGGAAGGGATCTCCAAGAATGCCCCTTGAATAGAAGCAGTATTGGTGAAGGCCATTTTTGTCCTCTCTGCTTCAGCCTTCATTCAGCCTGGGATGCGTATGTGATAGCTGGAATGCCAGCAGCTATCTTGGAGCAGGAAGTGACCTTGAAAATTGTAGCCACGTGCTGAAGATAGCAGAGCAACAAGGTAAAAGATCCTGGGCTTTTGATGACACCATGCAAGTTTCCATGTCATCCCTTGGGTTGCCTACCTCTAGACTTCAATGAGAAAGAGAAATAAACTCTAAGTCTGCTTAAGTCCACTGTTTTTTCTTGTCTGTTACCGGCAGCTTTTACTAATTATCTACTGCCACATAACAAATTATCCTAACCCTAGTGGCTTAAAAGAGCAATAATTATTATGCTCTCTCCTGGCTTCTGTGGGTCAAGAACTCAGATAGGACACAATGGGGATGGCTTCTCTGCTCCATGACATCCAGGGCCTCTGCTGGAAGACTCAAACACTGGGGCTGGAATCATCTGAACGCTCATTCACTCACATGTCTGGCGGCTGATGCTGGCTGAGGGCTGAGGGCTGAGAGCCTAACCAGGGCTGTTGGGCTGTTGGTGGGAACACCCACACAGGGCACCTCCATGTGGCTTGACTTTCCTCATAACATGGTGGCTAGGTTCCAAGAACAAGTGTACTGAGAGGGTGAAAGCTGTGTTTCCCTTTATGATCTAGTCTCCGAAGTCACATGGCATCACTTCTGCCCCTTTCCATCGGTCAAGGCTATTGTGAAGGTCCACCCAGTTTCAAGGGGAGGGAATATAGGATCTCATCTCTCTGTGGAGGCTTGTCAATGTCACATTGTTAGAATAGCATGTGGGATGGGAGATATATTAGTGGCTATCTTCAAAAATGCAATCGACCGCTGAGCCAAATGCCATTTGCCATTCCTAACTGATTGATACCCGTAAAGTGATCTGCAAAATGAACACCAAGCTCTTTATAGTGCTGTTTTAAGAGAGGAAGGTAGCGGCATGTCAGATATGGGCCTTCCCAGGGCAGAGTGAGCTGCTCAGATCATTTATGGAGGCCTTCGGGCCTACAGTAGATTAAATATGGCCACAAATTCTTTACCACTCCTCTCTTCAAGAGGTGGAACCAGGCTGGGCGCAATGGCTCACACCTGTAATTCCACCACTTTGGGAGGCCGAGGCAGGTGGACCACTTAAGGTCAGGAGTTCAAGACCGGCCTGGCCAGCATAGTGAAACCCTGTCTTTACTAAAAATACAAAAATTAGCCGGGCATGGTGGTGTGTACCTGTAGTTCCAGCTACCCAGGAAGCTGAGACAGGCGAATCACTTGAACCCAGGAGGCAGAGGTTGCAGTGAGCTGAGATCACACCACTGCACTCCAGGCTGGGCAACAGAGCAAGGCTCTGTCCCACAAAAAAAAAAAAAAAAAGAAAAGGAAAAACAGAGGTGGAATCTGTTTCTCCTTTAAATCTGGGCTGGACTTGTGATTTGTTGTGACCGATGGGATGTGAGGGAAGAGATGTTGGCCCACTTCTGAGGCTAGGCCTGAAAGACTCTTGTAGCTTTCACCTTTGCCCTCTTGCAATCCTGAGACCACCATCTATAAAGATGCCCAGCCAAGCCTCCTGACAGATTTGAGGCTGTGTGGAGAACTGAGGACCCCAGCCAAGAGCCAGCATCAGCTCCAGATATGGGATGACCGAGGCCATCTTAGACACTGTAGGCCCAGTTGAGCCATAGATGACAGGAGCCTCAGGAGTGACCCAAGATGAGACCAGCAGATGAACTACCAAGCTGATCCCAGCCCAGACTGCTGTCCTATAGAATGAGGGGAAATAAATCTTTGTTTAATTCACTACATTTTGGAGTGATTTGTTACATGCAATAGATCACTGTCACAAGGCTCTAAACCCAGCTGCACTTCATGAGGGAGGGCACTGGGCCTGCACAGCCAGGAAGAGGAGGGACCCAGAAACCCCAGTGTTTGATGGACAACTCTCAGCTCACGATCTCCTGATGGGAGACGGGGTGGTCACATGTTCAGACTCTCTTGGAGTCAACACCAAGCCAGAGTGTTCTGTTCTAAACTGTTCTCAAGAGGAGAATTCATGCCTGAGGAGTGGTGCAAAGTCTGGCTCCCAAACCCCAGCTGCCTCTGCCTCTGCTCTCTCCTGACATGGGCTACGCACAGCATGGCAGGAACAGAACCTGTAATTTCTACCCCCACCCCCACCTGCTCCTCTCTGTCTTCCATCTCAGAAAATAGAGCTACCATTCAGTCATATTCAGTCAGTTGCCTAAGCCAGGCACCTGCACAGCAAGCCTCTTCATTTTTTTTTTTTTTTTTTTTTTTTTTTTGAGACGGAGTCTAGCTCTGTCGCCCAGGCTGGAGTGCAGTGACCAATCTCGGCTCACTGCAAGCTCCGCCTCCCAGGTTCATGTTCACGCCATTCTCCTGCCTCAGCTTCCTGAATAGCCATGCTCGGCTAATTTTTTGTATTTTTAGTAGAGACAGGTTTTCACCGTGATAGCCAGGATGGTCTCGATCTCCTGACCTAGTGATCTACCCGCCTCAGCCTCCCAAACTGCTGGGATTTTGGCATGAGCCACCACGCCTGGCCGCCTCTTCTTTTTTTTTTCTTTTTTTTGAGACGGAGTCTCGCTGTCGCCCAGGCTGGAGTGCAGTGGTGCAGTCTCAGCTCACTGCAACCTCCGCCTCCCAGGTTCAAGCTATTCTCCTGCCTCAGCCTCCTGAGTGGCTGAGATTACAGGAGCCTGCCATCATGCCCTGCTGATTTTTGTATTTTCAGTAGAGACAAGGTTTCACCATGTTGGTCAGGCTGGCCTCGAACTCCTGACCTCAAGTGATCCGCACACCTCAGCCTCCCGAAGTGCTGGGATTACAGGCGTGAGCCACCGCATCTGGCCAGGTGTGGGCATTTTCTGATTAGAGACTTGGCTATCACATATGGACTGGCTTTGTTGTAGGAGGTAAAGATCACAGGATCTGCCTGGGTTCAAACCTCCATTTACTAGTTGGTCAACTAGGGCAGACGGCTTAATGCACTTAGGCATGTGCCTTCAGCTTCCTACTCTGTAAATTGTGGTAAGAATGGCACTTACTTCATGTTGGTTGTTATGAATCTTATATGGATCAAGCCAAGTAAAGCCCTTAGAAAAGGACCGGGCATGTAAGAAGTGCTTCCAGGCCAGGC